ACCGTTTTTGGTACCGGGGGGAGCTGCTCTTACAACAAACAAACCGGTTTAAAACCTTCCAGCTGCTCAGCAGAACATTTTTTTTCCTCAAGAAAAGAAAGCAACTTTTTGACAATGAACTTCATTGTGTTGGGGATGTTTTTTTAGTTTTGCTTTTTATAAAACTTTCGGGTTTTCAGAGGCAGTTGCAGCAGCACATTGTGGAACAAAGTTAACTCATTAAGTCCTGAAGCTTTCCTGTGGTTTTTCTTCCTGTGAGCAGGTAGAGAAATGATATAAGAAAACATATCTTCCTCTACAGGTGTTGATCCTCCTCCAGTGTTGGTCCTCTTCTCTTGTTTCCTTTCCTTCCACCCCCATATCCCTTTCTCAGCTGGTTCACAATGTTCCCTGTCTGAGCAGTCTTACATTGATATTCTCATCTCTCTTCCTATCCCACTCCGTCTTCCTCCATGTCTCTCTTGCCCTCTCAGGTGTGCTGAGTCAGTTCACCCTCACCCTGTGGGGCACTGGATCCAGCGTTGTCAACCCCTCAGCGTCTGACTTCCCTCGGCCATCCAACAACAGCTGCAAGACATTCGATGCCCAGCAGATCTGTATCGGTGAGATTCTGGGTTTCTTTCCGGCTCACAGATTACGTTTAAACAGAGTTTTTGGTCAGACTGTTTTGGGTATTTCAACTTGTGAAAAGCAAATGTTGTGAATACAAATCGGCCATCTACAAGCCTCTTGTGCATCTGTTTGCACACACACTCAGTGCACACTGCCATATGTCACTTTAGTTAGAATCAGTGTGGGACGTATTGAGGAGCAGCAGGAGAAGATTAAGACTGTTTCACTGCAAGAGGTGCGACGTGTTTCAACAACTGTTCAGAACGATGAGTCCCTCATTGAAAGGCAGACGAGGTCAGAAGCTCGTTCTGCTCCGAAGCACTCAGACGCCTTCCTCTTAATCATCCCAGACTTCTCCATAATTTATTTACAATAAACATTTCAAGTGTTAGCAGGAACGCCTTATTATACAGTGTCCCAGTTTTATAACAGCTCCCTACAAATTTAATTGAAAGGTTTTCTGAGCGAACTTTGTAACAGAAAGTGGAAGAAGTGCTCAATATGCCAGTCATGACCTTTGAATATTGTGAACGTCTTTTACTCAGTGTATATGTGTTTGTAGTAATGTTAACTTCAGCAAAGATTACTATTCATGAACGATATTGAATGTGGGTTTTAAACAAATAAATAGTGTATGGTTTAAAATGGATCTTAGCTTAGCAGTTTCCTTCCAAGTATGATCCTCTGGAAATCAACATCTGCTCCCAGGCATCGACCAACTGCAGTCCAACTGAGTGTCTTTAACGCTGAGATGAATGAGCAGTCATGTGTCACACCACTTTGGAAAACTGTGTTTGTCATTGTGCACTTATTGCAGATCTAACTGACCATCAATCAATCAAGAAAACAATCAGATGAACTCATGATGATGTTGTTACTTGATGTTGTTTTCATTTGACTTAACCTCCCTTGTGCTTTCATGTCTCCATCCAGAGTGCAGCCCCGGCTTCTCCCTCTTCCTGCAGGGTTGTGTGAAGTTGTGTCCACCGGGCTTCAGCTCAGGCCCTCAGCTCCTCAATCTCTCTCTAGAGAACTGGGTGGACTTGTCCTCAGTCCAGGCCTGCCTGCCCTGCAACCCTACTTGCCTCACCTGCTCTGACACTGGACCCACAGACTGCCTGTCCTGCCCCGCACACAGCCACCTGGTCCTCACCTCCTGCCTGCACCAGAACCAGGTCCAGCGGAAATCCCCCCTATCTGGAGGACTCCAGGGTGACGGAGCGCAGCTTGAGGAGGAGCCTCTGTCGGAAGTGGACGACAGCAGAGAAGCAGAGGAACCTCCAGGGCTCAGCATCACTCCGTCCACTCAGCTGCCCACTGTCGTGGCAGTGCTTAGCTGTGCCTTCATCCTGGCGGCCTTCATCGGCGTCTTCTTCTTGCTGCAGATTCGCTCAGGTGGCGCTTCTCTGGGCTGGAGGACCAAACTGCCCTCTGTTTATTCACAGACCAGGGGGGTGCGGGTGGGTTTTGGTTTCGGCTTCGGCCAAGGACGTGAGAGGAAGGCACGAATATGCTACAGGGGGATCCCCACTGTGTGGGGGGACGAGGACATGATCGCCTACCAGTCTGAATCAGACAGCGAGGAGGTGGACGGTCACAGCGAGAGGACAGCTTTTATCAAGACGCAGAGCTCCATCTAACTAGGTCTGTTCAGTGTTAAGATCTGAGTGTGTGGAGCTGACACACAAATGAGAATAAAACAGAATCAAAAATATAAAACGCAGGCCCTAATCAGCAAACCGTCCAAATGTGTTCCAGAGTCTATCATGTGTTTATCATGTATTTATTCAACCTGGATTATTTATCATACATATTCAGATGTCAGATTCAGTAAGCATCCTGTTCCACCAACATAAAGTTTAATTTAAACTAACTTCAGTGACCTGCTTGATAATGATTTGTCCAGTTCTTTTTGTATCACACACCTGTGAAGTACTTAAGGATCGGTTAATATCCTCAGCAGTGGTAAAAATATACTGACTGTTATACACCAGTAAATTCAGTATAATGGGATCAATGGGGTCAAACTCTGAATCCTACATTTCCCCAAAGGCAGCTTATTAGAACCATATATTCCAAACTCCTCACCCCCAGTCTCTGAAAAAAATGGTTTGTCTTAAAGGCCAGCAACCAATCAGAGCTTAAAATAACCCTGTTGACATACTCACATTTTAACAATGAATCAACGACCTCTTGTTAAAATTCCTCCAGCACATTTTACAGCAGGGTAAGAATTGAAATGACTTTCTATGTTGGGTAAACTGAAGTTGAAGAGAATAGTGCATCCCCTTCCCAACATGAGCGTTTGATTTGACCCCCAACACAAACATCAGCACAGACGGAGCTCTAATGAATCAGCATTGTTATGTTTTGTCAGATTCCTGGCAGATTGGAGGTTGTGAAGTTGGCACACTGCTTATTAATTGCAAGTAAACTTTAAATGGAAGATTTCTGCAGTGCACTGGGACGACATAATAAAACATCCCGCAGGCTGTTTGATGAGCAGGAAGCTGCGGAGGATGCTCAGTTTTCAATCACGGCTCAGTGGGAATTGCTACCGCAGCACTGACATATCAGATACATCAGTCAAGGAAATCTCATTGACTCGTAGCAGGGTAGAGCTGCTTCCCAGTCAAATGAAGAAACACTGAACCCGGAGCAGCTTGGTTGACCTTTACAACATTTGTCTTCTTCATTGCCGCTGGTAAGAAGAAAAAAAAAATCATTTTCTCTTCTTTCCCCCCCCCCCACAGAGTATTTATTGATTTTGGGGCTTCTCTACCAGAACGTCTTCATCAGGATAAACCTCTTTCCCTTTTTATTCTCAGTGCCATACATTAAAAGACAAACCCCACGTTTTATTTCTCTTCTAAAGCAGTGTGGCCAAACAGCTGCACACTTTGGATTTAAAGGCCACAATGGTTCCAGCGATAAATAACTGAAGAGATGTTTTCTATGTTTGTTTTATATCCTTTTTTATTTAACTGACAGTGGATGTTAATATTGTGGAGAACAGCTTCATGCTGGAATAAAAACGACTAGCTGTTGCATAGACAGACTGCGAGTGTCTTTACTGCCAGGTTTTTAAAAGTTTCAGGGTTTTATGCTTCTCAAATTCAGCTCACTGACACGAGCAGCAGAACTCTGGAGAGCAGATGGCTCATCTCTTCTTCGTAAGCTGTAAGTCATTGTTGCGACTGTGTTTCCCTCACTCAGGGTGATTTGCTTCATCAGGTGCCAGTAGTCACGTCTTCTGCCTGCGATCCAGTTGCTGCCAAAAATCCTTCAAACACTGTTTTCCCAAGCTTCAAGAGTACGGCCCCTAAAAGTTTAGCTGAAATTAAATGGGACAGTTTGTATGCATGCAGGAAAAACAATTCCCCGCCAGTCGCAGCTTTGTTCATTAGCAGCTTTCCACAAACACAGGCTCTACAGAGGCAGGTAACTGGGTTCATGGGTGATGGTACAATCATTCTGTGGTCCATAATTAGATCTAGTGGGAGAACTCAATGCACTATTCAGCACCCTTGTGATGTGTCAAGCTTTGCATTATAAATGCTGTATGTGGGAATGTAAAGGTGTGTGTTAATTGGCTCCTGTAGCAGAGGAAGGTGGTCTGTTTGAAAGCCTTTAACTCTTCATTCACACCCTCATTACATGATTCTTGTTTTTTTTCAGTGTGGCCTTTAGCTTCTATTAATTAGCTGTCATGTTCTGCACAATGCTGCCCGCTAACTCGGCTGGACAACAAGAAATATTAGATTAATCAAAACAACAAATTAGTTCCTCATTAGCCGTTTTCACATGCAGATCAATTGGACTCTGAGGTTCCAGTTTAATTAATCCAGCTGCGCAAACATTGTTTGTGACAAACTGAGTGTTTGTTCCTCCTCCACAGACAAATATAGTTGGCAGCAGAGTCTGGAGGAAAAATGTAGAGGCTGAATGTCCCTAGGGTGCCGCCACAGACTTCATCAGCCGCCTGGCTTCAGGCGACTCTGCCACTACACTCTGTTCATGCTATGTAAACATGCATGAGGGACTCAAGAAGAACAAAGAAGCCTCTTACGTGTTCAACTCGCGCTCACAGAAGTCACTGATACCCTCAACATTATTGCCAAACACAAGTGGAGACATTCTCAATGACCCTCAATGAAATAGTCTGAAAAAGATTCTGCTCCTGCTCAGTCCTCAACTGGAACCACTAATAAATCAATTCCTGCTTCTACCCCACAAACTAACAGCATCTGAAGGAGTTGACTGCTACACTGACTCGATGTTGCCCCCTACTGACAGAAAGTAAAACAGCTCTATTATTAACAAGAAGACGTTAAAGCATCATACATAGTCAGGATTCACAGGTGCATTAAAAGACTGAAGGAATCTAATTAGTTTCAGATAAAGTGATTTTTATTCATCTCCTCTGTTCCTCTGCAGCTTAAATCCATCATGAATTAACAAATAGATGAAATATTACCTTCTTATATTACCTCTGAACAAACAGAAACAGCGTTACACGGGTATCACATTCTAAAAAATAAAAAAAGGACATCTATACAGAGACTGAGACACACAGAAATGAGGGAGAGGCGGTCGTAGCAAGGTCTGAAGATGGCAGGAGAAAGTGCAATCGAAGGAGCAGTGAAGTCTGGTGTTACAGAAATGTTAAGAGAATGAGTGGGGAGTTTTTGAACTGTGATAATAACCAGACGTCGGGCAGAGAGGAGGAGAGCGGCAGGAGGCCTCATGAAGAATGAAGCAGGTGAGCGGTTAAAGTGATGGGACACAGGTGAGCTGCGAGGAGTTCGGCCTCAGCTTTGGACACAGATGAACACATCCTCCACGGCCACTGTGGAGGCAGAGCATGCTGCAAAGTAAGGCCTTGGGATAAGAGCCACAGCGGAGCTGGAATACAAAAAAACAGCTCCATTTGAAGAAACTGAGAAACCCTGTGTTTGTTTGGATACAATTTCTTAAATGGACCATTTCATCCAAATTAAGTTTTTATCTCAAATGAGGTCTTGAAGCACAGACAGTTTTTGTTTTTTGTTGAACTTTTAAGAAACCCTCTCCAGAGACTGCAACCAGCCATGGAGATGAATGGAGTTTGACTCAAAGCGTTCACAGCTTTGAAAAATGACATCTAAAAAATTTAGCAGCAACATTTCCTTCCAAGACACACTGTCCCACCCAGTTTTCACTCACTGCCGCTTTCCCATTTATAGTTTTTTTTTTTCCTGTTTTGTCATACAGGAAATTCACAAAGTCTGCTGTTTTATATGTGCATGAGGAGATGCAACCTGGAACCTCTTCATCACATTGCCAATAGCTGAAAACCTTTTTTTTTTTCTTTTCCATTTAATATATTTTGTTTGATTTGGTGGATGTTGCTGAAGCAGAGCTGCTTTCATTTTGTGCAGCTGTGAGAAACATCCATCTCTTTTATGTAACCCATGGTCATATCAGAGTGCACACCAACAGCACACTGGAAATCAAGCAGGTTTTTTATGCTTTTTTTTCTAAAATAAAATATTTTCAAATGATCACACCGAACTCTGAATCAACCTAAAATACGAGCTGATTTGGAATCAGCCTCAGCACGATCAGTGAAATATTTCTGATCAATGGCAAAGCGTTTCAGGAATGACAGCATGTTGTCCACTTTTATCCCCCAAATAGAACATTTTAATGCTTTCAGCACAAAATTCATATTCCATTTAGCTTGTATAAGGGTGATAATGACAAATAAAGTGCAGTCATGAATTTAAAAAAGAAAAGATCAACAGCAATCTTGATAATGAATTCAATTGTTCCAGGTTCATTTAGTGAGTGAGACTGCAACTTGTTCCAAGAAATATCTGCTATTCTGTGGTTATATACACTCCAGAGTTCATCGATAGTCCCGAGCGAATTTCAGTAATTTGGACATTTTTTTTAAAGGGGTCAATCAATACGCACACCAACACTGGAAGCAGCTCCAAGCAGATATCTGAAAATAAATCCATCTGATGAGAGCGACACCACTCGAGTTAGTTTGTCTGTTTGCTTTTTTTAATAGATTAATATTACGTTTAACTATGGTTCCACAAAGCTCCCTCCCTCCTCAAAAGATAAGACCCCACTGCCTACCACAGACATCCATACTAACATAATGAGGCCAAACAGTGCTGTGAATGTTCCCTGATAGTGCACACTGTAATCTCACATGAACATACAGACACACACTGAATTATCTGCCACGTGGAATAAATGAGGTATAGTCTTTGTCTACTCTTCTACTGCATATAGCGTGGTAAACACAGCCAAACTCTCAGTGGTGAAGTTCAAACACAGGAATGACTGACAGGAACGTTGAAATGCACAGATCCTCCTGCACAGATTTGTTTTGTTTTTTTCATCAGCAGAAATGAGGCTCGGGGGTGGGAGGGGGGAGAAGTGAAAGAAAGTGTTCAGACTATGTACAAGCAGCCAACAGAGGGTATACAGTCATCTGATATGATAAAAGATCGCATTTTTATCCCGTGGTGACGTGGGACTCTCGGACGCGGACATCTTTGTTAGCTTACAGAGCCACAGTTCCGCAGTTTGAGATGACGAGACAACACATTCTCTTTGCTGCATTCGAGTCTGTCGGGAACAAATAATGAAATTGCAGTCAAGTATATTTAAAAAAAAAAAAAGATTGCTGTGATGCGTCTCCTTCACCGCGTACATAGAAAAATTAGAAACCCATTCACCAAATAAAGCTTTGTAAATTGCACTCTGATGTGGCACGAGTCCCAGGCCCCCTCCTCCCCCCCCTTAGGTCATTTGGATATATTTACATTCAGTAGTTCAGTCCAGGATGGAGCAAAGATAGAAAAAAGACATACGTTCTTAAAAAGCAGAACCGATTCAGATTTCATTTTTTGATTACAGAGAGATCCCCGACTTTATCTGATCCATGCAGTCTTTCATGTGTCGCTGCGAGTTCAGGGAGGTTTTTGTTTTTTTTCTGCTCTCAGAGACATCCACAGTAACAGCCATCGCCTGCCCCCTGCTGTGCAGTCGGTCCTGTTACAATGGAGCCGTCCTCTCGCAGCTGTAGTGTTTGTGGTTCTGCTCGGCAAAGACAGAGAGACTCAGAGCCCTCTGTTGCCAGTATGTGGCCAGTTTCGGACTGGTTCTTGGTCCAAGGAGTATGGTTTGTTTTTTGTTTTTTATTGCCTCTTTGAGTGTGAATAGCTTTTAGCGCAGCTTGAGCTTAAAGGCAGAGATCTCCATGGGATCAAGGCTGATGGAGGAGTCGTTGGCCAGAGGCGTGCTGGAGTGCATCAGAGTCAGGGAGACAGGCTGGAGCAGCTGCAGGTCCAGGTTCTTAAAGAGTCCTGATACACTCAGCTGTAGAGGGAGGAGTAGAAGGAAACATAAGACACATAAAGAGAGACATGGAGGCCACATCTCAAGTGAGGCTAACAGCATGTAGAAAATTAAAAAATGCAAAAGAAGAAATTAAAAAAAAAAACAACAACATTTAAAAGAACATATTTCTACAAGTATTGCCTAACAGTAAAGCATGAGGGAATCGGGGAAACAAAATGTCCTGTATGTATCAAAATGTTCACTGGATTCAACACTAAAGCAGCACTTCAATGTTGTAGATTAAAATAGCAGTCATATTACTTTATCATGTAAGAAGTTGTCGTATTATTTGAGATATTTTTTAGAATGCAAAATATTAATCTGAAAATAAAGTTATAGCTTTAACAGTGCAGTAGTTAAGCTCTCAGCCTTAAATGAAAGTTGCAAAGTACAGACCCAGAGACCACCAGAGTGGCACTTTCCACCACCATTGGTCACTCAGACTCTAATCGAAGAGTCTTTCAATCAAACAAGCACTCCACAAGGTTTATATACGGAAAAATCAACTCTCTTTAAACGGATGATTATGTCCTAATGTGACATAGCGACGCAGACCAGGCTGGCAGTGTCACTACGTATCCCAGCACAGCCTGCAATACAAAATGAATGGGGGTGTTTTTCTAGCCTCACCTCTCCTTGTGTGGTGGTGCAGTTGAAGCCGAGGTTTTGAGCCTCGACGCCGCAGTCCATCGCCAGACGGTGAAGAATCATAGCTGTGTACGGAGACGGAGAGTGGGGGTCCTTCTGCTCACACAACACAGCCACAGGACACATTTTTCAAAGTCAAAACCACTGAATATCTGAGAACAACATGATTTTCTTTGTCTGTTCTGGTCACCTGGCTCTGGATGCTGCGCAGGTTCAGCATGTGGAAGTCGCAGGGCAGAAGGGACTTGAGAGGGGCGAAGGTTTGCAGAGGAGGGATCCCGCGTCTTTTTGGCAGGACGGGCAGCGCGAGGACCTCGTGGTTCAGGAAGGCGTTGGTCATGTGACTGAGTATAGACGGGAAGCTTGTTGTTGCACTGTCTTCCATCTGGAGGAGGGGCAGAGGCAGATTTAGGGCACAGGGAGGAGTGACGCTTTAACAAATACAACATCCACGACTCAACTCTAGAAAATGTTCCTGAGTGCCGTACAGAGGGAATGGGATCTAATTTCTCAGAAATAGAGCTCGTACTGTTACAAATTGTAATCCAGACAAAGAGAGCTAATCGATTTGGACATATTTTTGATGCAACCAGAAGACGATGTGATATCATTTTCTAAATACTTTTTTAAAAGACGTTTCATGTTTTTCATCAGGCCAGCAAACTTCAACTAAGTAACAGTTTCTCCACAGAGCTGGATGATCAAAGTGCAGCTTTTGTCATTTCATTTACTCAGACAGATTCTATCATTTGTTACTTTCAAAAGGAGTTGTTAAAGATGGCCTGGTTTAGCTACGGCTACGAGGTAGAGGAGACCTAAAAAAAGAACTGGAGGAGCTACAGACCACAAGCTATGATGAAGACTAACGAGCATCCTCACTGTTACCAAGGCAACGTTACCTCTTGAACTCGGTCATTCAAGATCTTAGAGAGGAAAGAGTGAAACAAGGAGGAGAGTTTGGCATAGTAGCCATCATGCTGGATGTAATGAGGGGGAAAGAGGAGAGATGGAAAGCAACATTAAAGAGGATTAAACAAGAGACAGATGGCTGGTAATGAGAACAAAAAAAAAAACATGAAGTAAGGTGTTAATGAAGACAGAATGAAGGACATGAAGCGCTTATATTCCACAGTGCAGACCCAGACACGTGGGCTGGAATTTCAAGAGCGCTCGGCTTCAATAACCGCCTTCGCTGTCATCTTTCTGACCTTGTTGCCCGTGGATCTCCTCTCCAGCAGCAGGCGGAAGCGGTTCGCCGTCTTCTTGTTGTCCTTCAGGCCCTGACCCAGCCCACGGTTATCATCCTGCATCAGCCGTCGGTCCATAATCACTTCAAGCTGGCCTGAGGGAGGAGGAGGACGAGGAGCAAGGACAATGGCTTTTATATAGAGCCTTTGTATTGAACTTAAAGACATCACTCAAAGGACATAAAAACACTATTAGCTATTCGTCCTTTACAGACACCGCCATTACTCACATAACGATGATAAAAGGATTAGTGGAGTACATTAACGAGAGAGCATGAACTGGTTTGCTCTCTGAAAAGATCTTAAGGGAATAGTGGGAAAGGCATAGTACTACAAAAGGTCAGGGACAGAGAAAAATAAGACAACAAAAATGATGAGAACATTTAACAAATGCAATTAAAAAAAAAAAAAAGCACAGACCATTCTCGAGGCTGCTGACGCCAAGAGACTGAGCAGTGTGCAGCGTGAGGCGGTGATGGCTGTCCTGGATGTACGCCTGGCTGGGCATTGGATAGAAGTTGGCCTGCAGGGGGAGCTTGAGGTGGTGTTGACGAGGCTGCATCTACAAGCAAAATGAATGATAATTGTAAAAGATCAGGGGTGGTTTACCTCACGACTTCACTCCGCTTCAAAAAGGTTGTCCATCAAAAACAGGTCAAAAGTTCGACCGACCTGGAAGCCGTTGAGATCCGTGTAAAAGACGCCTCCACTCTGGATGTCTGTTTCTAGCCTCATAGCCAGCTCCTTATTGGTCTGATCTCTGATGTCCACCGCGGTGCTGATGTCTATCGACAACCCATCCACACCTGATATGAAGAGAACACATGAAACACTTCAAGCACTCAGATCTTATTTTCCCATTCACTCCTCTTTGTTGTTGTTGTTGTTGTTGTTGTTGTTGTTGCAGATATTATTTGGCTTTTGCCTTCTAAAAGTATAAAAGAGGTTGCTTACAGGAAAAGTGCCGACCTAATTGAATTATAAATAGTCACTTTCTCGAACATATTGGCCCTTTTTTGCATCGTACCATCTGGTGCCTTTTAACTGAACGTGAAAAGCTTTCACAAAGCTATTTGAACCGATTCCATTCAGTGTGTGTTTATTACCTGGCACGTTGTTAATGCGAATGGTCTGCTGAAAGTGCTGGTAGTGTGCCACCACCTCCGAGAAGAGAGGCCCCTCCACCACGCGCACCACGGGAGGCTCCTTCTGGTTGTAGGGCTGTAAGTACGAAGAGGGAAAATCAGAAGAAGTGCTAAGAAAAACAAGAGTGATGCAGTACAGTAAGGCAAGGAAGCCATTAAAATGTTATCTTTAAAATCAAGTGGAAAGATGGAACGGCACACAGTGTGCCTTCCGCCTCCCCCCCCGAGCGTCCCAGCATGACACAATGACAACATCCACTGAAGAGACGCTATCAAAGCCTTTTGAGCTGCGAGTAAACATCCGAGAAACAACAAGTGAGAAAATACCTTCGCTTTCCCGTCAGGGAGAAAGAGGTACGCTCCACTTTTGTCTTTGGAGGGGCGAGTGCCGTAAACCATGAACTGCATCTGAACCTTCACTTCCTGAGGATCATCCTTACGCTTGATACTCTGGAGAATTAAAAAAAGAAAAGAGAGGAAGAAGAAGGAGAACACAATATATTAAAGAAGGACATGAAAGGATTTTTTTACGAGCAACAACACATGCTATGTTCTCTTTGATCAAGCAGCAGGGATTTATTGGGAAATCAAACTCAGGCTTCTTTTATCCTCGAAAAGATCAAAGTCACTACACACAACTCTGAATCTCTACCGAGGATTTCCTCGACAGAAGTTGTGAATCGATAAATCACAAACCTCCAGCAGGCCGGTGGATCCGGAGAAGCCCAGAGTGAGAGTCTGACTGCTGATGTAGAAGGTCTGAGGGTCGGACTGCTGGGAGCGGATGGGGAGTGAATCAGCGGCACGAGCAGTGATGCCGCGACCCGACAGCCTCAGCAGGGTGTCGGAGCGGAGCGTCATGGGCGAGTCAGGAGCGTCATAAACGTGGAAGACAGCTAGACCAAGGGGGGGCAGGCGAACCATGAATGTTGCCTGGGTGGAAGAACAGTCGAGTTGAATCAATTAATCCAGAAATCCAAACAAACACTTGTGTGTTCAAAGCTTGTGTTTTACAGCCCTGAATTCATTTTCTCTCTTTCATGATCTGCATGCCGAGTGTTGACCATAAAGCACTCATTAAAAGTTAAAAGCGTTTACACATTAGCAGCAGTGTGCTATAATTAAAATGTGAAGAGTGATTGTTCTAAATGTGCCTGTGTTTCTCTGTGTCTCATTTACATTTATGACAAAATGTGGGTGGAGAGAAGATAAAGCACAGTAAATACATTTAAAGGTTTTTTTTTTGGGGGGGGGGGGGGGGATCAATGATTCAGGCTGACTCCAATTTTAAATTTGTTTTGGAGAAATTAAAGAAAACACAAGTGCAAGCTTGAAGAGGTGAGAAGCACACTTGACACTCTGATGCCTTTTTCTTGTGAAGAGTTTTTTTTTTTATTTGGAGTACTTTTATTTTTATTCTTACATTTCAATAAAAACATTCTCTTGTCAATACTTTCACAGCTTTAGGGAGTCAGGGGTCAATCAAACAACCACAGACTCTCTCTGAGGTACAGCTGTATGAGCAGAAAAATTCAGTTTAAAATAAACCAAAGTGTTTTGTTTTTTTTTGGTTTGTTTTTGGTGGGTTTTTTTTTTGGGGGGGGGGGTGTTGGGGGGTATTTTAACACATACATAGATTTGTGAAGCTTAGTTAGTTGTGCTTTATACAAAAAGTGTACACAGAGGTAATTAAAAAGGAGTTCTCCTCAGATATACAACCTCCCTCATGTAACACAGGGTCAGACAGCTTGTGCCTCCATTACCCACAGTGCAACTTGATTACCAAAAGTACACTCAAACAGCCGTGTTGCTTTGAGTGTCTTATGTAGCCTGAGACTGCCAACCCAAAGCAGAAATGAGGAACTTGAACAAAGGTCTTGTAAACTCCCACCTTAGTAAACCTAATCCCCGAGATTCTTTTTTTTTTCCAGACGGATTTTTCCACACTGACGGACACGGGATTGAGACAATTTATCATATTTCCTGCGACTCTTGCTGCAACCACAAAAGGCTTCACACTCTAAAAACACCTTTAAATCAAACTAAGCTTAAGTTTATATCCTGATGGATATGACCTTAACGATTCCCTCAAACAGCAACAGATGTGTCAAGCTTTATGGGAACGCACCCTGGACATAAAGTATCGTCTGTGTACTCACCACACAGTGCAAATATCTCACATTATAAAATTAGACAAACCATCATCTAACACTGTTTCTGCACAACTGTACAGCTCTTCCATTGTACTTATTGTACATGTTTTATCTTTTAATTCTTTACTGTTTAGGTTATATTATTTCATAAAAAGTGCCCTGACAGTTGAAATGTCAGATTTAGATTCAGAGATGGGACATTTGTAGTCATGTAGTGGTTTTAAGTCCATCTTTTAAACACATCAGCTTCATTTTTTTTTACTGGATCCACACCAGCTTACATTTGTCACACACATCATTCTGACTGAGGATTTAGTTCTAAATTCTTTCAGTTTAAAGCACGTAACAATAATGACTAAGGACCAAGCACTGGGAAAATTGCTTTAAGTGCACAGCAGTTTTCTGACTGAACAGTTTGTGAATAGACCCTAATGTGAGACACTGCAGCTGGGCTGGTGGTACGCCAATTATACTATGCGGAAACCTGCGGTGCCTAATGAATTTAATGTCTTACCTCGAATACCTCTGCACTCATCTGACTGGCAGAGCTCCACTGAGCGCTCAGCTGCACTGGCAGGGTCTGTCCGTCCTCAGTGAGCACCCGCACCCTGACCGTATTGACCAACACAGTCACAGCACACAGCCGCTCCTGCTCAATGGGGTTGAACAGAACCAGATACCTGTAGGGAGAGGGGAAAAGCAATCAGACACACAGTACGGTGGATGAGTGGTTGAAGGAGGGGGAGGGGAGTGGGGGGAGATTAAAGATGTGAGGGGATGCAGATAATACCTCGGCCCTGCAGGGTCCAGCTCGATTAAAGTGCGCTGAGGCAGAGAGTCTTGGGTAGCCCGCCTGTCATCCTACAGAAATGAAAAAATAGAGAACAGGAAAACACACTGAGTTCTTCCACAAGGAACCAAACATGCAGGTTTTTCAAACTGTTTTTGATTCAGTTGGGGAATTGCTCCTCGATATTACCGTCTCTAGGAATGGCTCTGTCTGGTAAAAGCGATAAAACTCTTTGTTCTTCATCACCAGGAAATGAGCAGCGTTGATAATGACTCTCTTCAGACCGATAAGCGAACGCAGTAATCTAGGGAGGAGGAGCAGGAAGAATCATTAAATGGATCACTGCAGCAGTCACAGCAACTTTTTTCCTTTGTTTCAAAGTATTGAACAAACAAGTTCAAAATAGAAACAGTGACTGAGGTTTAAAAAGAGAAAGGGAACAATCTGTCTGTATAATGTAAATCACTAAATATAAGGCATGATTACAGACCGTCTCTCCTATCCTTACCTAGTACCGTAGTCGACAACAACATTTTCCTTGGCAGTGCCAGTGATGGCATCATGATGTTGAAAGAGGCCAACAGTCCGCCTCGCATCGACCAGCAGGGCATAATCTGAGACCGGGTACCGCCCTTCCATCCCAGCATGACGAGCATTCGCAACTGCTAGGCTGTAGAGGATCTCTGCCCCCCTAAAGGACACGGAGCAGTTAGCACTGACCAGCGATCGAAAGTGAGACATCTTTAAGTCAACTCAAGGTGTGTTCACATATCAACTGCTGATTCTTCTGCAAGAGTGAGAGTTTACATGTGGTTGTTTGCAGCCCACTGCTATCCAATCCAACTCTGTAATACCTGTTACAGGCTTCATGGATGTATTTTTGTTGTTAATGTGACTTAACATAGTTCAAATAGTTAACAGTAGAAAGAGAAACATAAACCACAACATGGAAAGTTAACGGCCCCTATCCCAAGTTATATATATACACACACATATATATATATATACATATATCTTTATTTATATTGTTGCCTGATAGTGTTTTAGTGATACTTCACATATTTAACGACTTTTCTATCCATTTGAAGTTGTACCATGTTCCTATCCTGTGTTTTGCCAACAACAGCACACCACACCTTCATCTTGTTTGCCATGCAAACCAGAAACAGCTTCAGTATTCAAAAGAGGTTGTGTAAGTGATGTGGGGATAAAGCCGCCTCACCTGAGGTGCGACTCTATAACACGGTCCAGGCTCTTGTAAAAAGGCCGGGAGGTGAAATAGCCGGTCCAGTAGTGGTCTTCGCGGTCGGCATAAGCAAAAAAATCTCCACTGAGCACCGGGAAGTCTGCAGGTCTGGACCCTTGGGGCACTCCGTGTTCTTTGTATACAGCACTGAAGTAGTCGGTGAGAGTCCCAAACTGGGCCTGAAATAGCAAACGCCCAGACGTTACAAACAGACACGCTTACAAGAATACATCAGCCAAGCACAGACAGACAAACAAAGAACCTTTCTCATTACTATGCATGCACCTGTCATCTAGCATGAGTCGTGACAGATTCTTTGTTCCGTCAGAGTGTTAAAATACCACAGCATGATTCAATATCACAAGTTAGGTTGTAAACTCAGACACTCGATAAGATCACACACTTGGAAGCACAGAGACAAATCAAAAAAAGATGCACAAAACAACAACATATATTTGGTTTGTGGCAGATGACAAATCATCACTCACTTGAACGTGCATCTCGGGGTGAGAATTCATGTAGTCAAACAGTTTCTGGTAGTTGCTGTACTGCTGATCCCATTCCAGGGCCTTGTCGTAGCGGAAATCATCTCCCAGGGGGATGAGGACCACCTTGCTGCGGTAGAGTTTGGACTTTTTACGATACTGATCTAGGAGGAGGTTTGCCCTTAATGAGAGAATGAAAAGACAAAGTAGGAGGGAAAAAAAAAAAAGGTCACTTTCTTGGCATTTGAGCTATCCCACTTTGCATTTTCCAGTTTTGCAGAAAACCATTGTGACCTCGGAAAGAGGATGATCAAATTATCCCTGAGGGCATTTTCCATTAGCAGCTGAAATGTGTCTTCTGGAAAGTTCTTAAGGTCCCCGAAAAGAGGTTTAATGAGACTGCGTGAATATCTGCAGTCTGTGTGGGTCTCCTTTGGTTCATCCACTCTCTGCGGCTCTTATCATTGGCGTAAGTTCAAGTTAAGTTTATTTGTAAGAGGCCACAACACATAACACTAAGACGTGCAACAGCAGTATCCAAACACTGCACAAGAAAAGTTTTATGTTTTTGGTATTGTAAATCATAAAGTCTTTCTAATGGTGGATTTTGGATTCTGACAATGTACATAATAGACATTAAAACATTATTAGTGAGACTAGACCAAGAGGCAGAGTGTGAGACGCTTCACAGTTGAAACCTCAGTGCTCAGGGGTTGACAAACTGTGTAGTTGTGTTTCAAAATAACCTCAATAATGTCCTATGCATTTCCATATTGGCATTTATTGTCATGCAAGCAGCCAACATACACGTTGAGGCTATAATGATGACTATTGTCATCATCAATTGCTCTGCCCATTAGCCTGGGGTTGAATGGACCAAACACAACCAATCACCTTCAGACACCTTGTCATGTCACTCCATCACATAGCAGCAAGAACATGTCAATATCCCTGCTGTTCACAAGCTGAATATAGAGAGTACTTAGTCGTTTTTCTAAATGAGTTACTGGTACTGGAATAATGAATCGATTATCAAAGAAGCTGCGGATGATTTTACTGATAACTGACCGATCAACTGAAGTCCCTCGATAGGTGCATAAAGTCAACAGAAAGTACTTAAACAAACTCAACAATAAAACAGATTAACCACTTAACCAAAGTTAGAGCTCACAACCCCGTGTCTCACCTCTCTGCTACATTGGCCTCCACCACAGGTTTTGGCGGCACCTTCCAGGGACAGTTAATGCGACCACCTGGTAACCTCTTGAAATCAAACTGGCAGCAGACCTTGGGGTCGGGCCCGCAGGTGTGAGGAACGTCGTAGCTGTAGAAAGGCATCATGTGGCAAAACATGTCCGTGCTGGATCCAGTGTCTATCAATGAGGCAAAAAAGACTTGCTTAAGACAACTATATATTACCACGAGTAAGGATGTCATTTGTTATTAAAAGACACGCTGCGCTCGTCAACATGAACAGATTTTCCATTTAGGTCTACTGTGTTCACTGGGGACAGTCAAGAGTCATTTTGGACAAAGCAGCAAAAACTAACTCGTCATTACTAAATGAATCCCCAAAAGAATAAATGAACTCAAGATTAATAGCAGCTGACTGTGTAATATCCCAGGATTGTTCCATTACGAACAAATGGACTGTGAATCTCAGGCAGATGTTCAATTCATTAGGAAATCATAACGAAGATGGCTCTTTTTAAGCTATTACGCACTGATTCTTCTCCTAAAGTTTCCCTCTCTTTCAAATGCCATGATAAGAGAACTCGTGACTCATCGTGCAATCAGCTTAACACAGATAAGCACATGAATCATATGACGTCTCTATCTCTGGTCCACTCACCCCAGGCCTGCCTCCACATAAACTCCAGGCTGCGGGTGGAGGCAAAGTGTTTTTTGATGGAGTAGTGGACCCGCTGGATGAGCATGCTGGTCAGGTTGGCTTTCTTCAGCAGGTAGGGCATCGTAGCGCTGTGGCCGAAAGGGTCGACCGCCCACCCGCTGCGGGGAGTAATACCTATGACAGCAAGTATTTCAGGTTTAGGATGAGATCGAAGAAGTGATGCATCTTTTAGAACACTGTCCTCAGCAGGTGAAGTGAAAATAGCACAAAGTACTTTATCACCCACTGAGTGAGAGGTTACACCGGCTACATGCAGGATGAAAGGCACAGTTTTTATCATGAAGGATGGGGAAGTGTTATTTAGGCCAAAACAGTAACGAGTTTTTCCTGTGTACCTAGATTTCTCTCCAGCCACTGATGCCCTTCAATGAGCTGGTCTATCATGGCAAAGTAGTGAACGTTTGCTTCGTCCGTCATCACCCATCCGCCTGTCACAATCTCCAGCTGCCCTCCAAGGATCAGTCTGTTGAACAGAGAGGATTAAGAAAGCAAGGTGATGATAATCCAGCCCTGAAGAGGGAGAAGCACACTAAGCAGATAAACTATTTTTAGAGCGACCACAATCGGCCAGCACAAACTTCCCATTGTGTAAAACACGGTACTTAAGGCCAACAGGCACTGAGGAGTTATCAACCGTGACTCACTTGCGCATCGCCTCCTGCTTGTATATGTCTGCGCCCTCCCACCACTTGGCAAAGAAAGAAATCTCAGACCAGATGAACTTCCTGCGGGGATCCTCCGCCAGCTTCACCACCATGTTGTTTAAAATGTGTTGCGTCTGGTCCGTGAAGTACTTGTCAAAAGTCTTGATCCAACCTAACAGGCCAAAATAAATATGAGCAATTTTCACACCACAGTTTGCAAACAGACTGTCCAACACAAATTTGATTGTTGTGGAAACAAAACACCCCTACACCTTTTTTTTTTTTTTTTTTTTATCTAGCTGGCTATTAAAAAAGACAAGAAAACTGGGCAGGTAAGAGACTCTGCAGAAAAAGCACTGCACTGGATCAAAAATAAAGTCATATTTTATTCAAGTGAGGCTGTTCCCTCTCAGAAAGCCATGTAGCAGCAGAGTGGTTTAAAAGAAAGTGGCTAAAAGGCACTTTTTCAGTGTTCAACGCTGTCTAACCATAGTCTGTGACAAACACGTCACTTATCTATCTGTCATATTGTGAGCTCATATATACCATGTCACATGATCTTTCTGCAGGTATGTGGAAACTAAATCAACACAACTGAGATGAGGGTATTTAAGAGGAATCAGAGCTCCTAAGTGTAAAAGACAAGATTAGTTGCTTTTTTGCTAAAAAACAAAATTAAAAAAAGCCTACATGAGCGAAATCCATCCTAATACAAGTGAACCTGTTTTCACATTGTGTCAGCTGTCAATATGACCTCTGGTTCTGTCAACCCAGGACACTGAACGCTGCATAACTCTAGCAAAAGCAGAGTTTAATCAAGTTCAGCTTCAAAGTAAAACCAGTTTTCGTTGTTGTTGGGACAACATGTAAATGTCTTAGCAGCCTGTGAAATAATCCATAACTTTCAACTAAACTTAGTAAGCATGTGACATGTCAATCCAAAACAAAATGTCAAATCCAGCCTTGAAGTCAAATGCAATGTTTACGGCTAAGCTGTCAATCCTAGTAATAATAAGAGTGAATACAATTCAGAATGATTGCTGTGTCCCTACCACCAGCCCACAATTAGAGAATGCCTTATCTACAGACCATACCTTTTTTATCTGCAGAAATGGGAAATCACAGACTGTCTTTGCACTCACCTGGATCATTGTGTGAGTGGGGGACCACAAACACTTGCAGCGGTTCATTGTCCCACTCTTCAGGTTCATAAGTAATGTCAAAGCCCTGTTTCCATACACCGCCATCAGGGTTGTCAAACTTCAGGATGGAGTACACATCCAGCATCTAAAAACCAAAACACAAACTCCTAAGTTGCTCCGGGACAAGCCCCATAAATAAATATGCTAAATCAACCACGATAAGGCTTCAAAGAACACCTTTTGGTTGAGGTTAAAAGTCTTTTGTATCATCCCACCTGAACATCCGTTTGACCACGGCTGCCTGCAGCAAATTGGCAATCTTGTGGCTTAACCGCCAGGAAAGTGGGGCGGCCGTCGAAGGGAAGGACCCAGGAACCATTGGCACTTCTGAAAGGCAGGTGGCCACTAGGAGACACAGCTCCTGTGTCTGTGAGCTCCATCACAGAGTCCTTTATGTGGCTGATGATTTGGTGGTTTTCCTCCAGGAGCTGCTCCAGCTGCTCTATCCGGTTCTGCAAAACTGAGATTTGGCTCTAAAGACAAAAGTGCAAGCAAAAATGACAAATCGCACAGCTGTACAATGTCATAAAACCTCCGTCAACCAGCCCACATTCTTCTTCTCTGTTGCTGTTTCATGACTAGAAATTACATAATCTGTGATTTACTAAAACTTTGACTCAGACAAGGTAACAAAAAGCAGATCAATCAAGCCTAACAACACATTTTATACCATGATACATGATAAATATTTCAATACAAATTTAAAAAAACACATTAAGCTTAGTTGGGCTCTGTGTTACAGGATAAGGTAAAATGCCAACATTGGCTCCTTTGTCTTTGTTTTTTTATGTAAATTTCTGCTTAGAGCTAACACCTCACGTATCACAACAAAACACACTAAAAAGGGATACAACAACAATAACTGCTGAAAGCAGCTTTCACACATCATGATAAACACCACTACAGCCATTTTTCTCACCCGTGGAAAGTTCCCGCCGGTCTGTCGCCTTGCAGGGTCATGTTGGACTCGATCCAACATCAGATACAGTGAGAACACAGCCACACAGAATATGGCCCCACCACAAACTGTCACCTGTTTCCTCAGCTTCATCCTCCCAGGCAGCAGTCCTCTTTCCGGGGTTTGAATTTTTTTTTTTTTTTTTTTATGACCTTTTTTTTTTTTTTTTTATGTCTGCTTTTTATGTCAGCACTGAGAAAAAAAATAAGTCCTTGAAAACTGGAATGTAATCCTTCAGAGTGCAGGAAAAAAAAAAAAAAAAAGATGGAAAGTAACCAGCTACCCCAGTGTTGATGGTTCAGTTCCAGTCTTATGATGCCTCCAGCCTCCGCTTACCATACTGGAGACCACGGCGATGTGGGCTACAGCAGTGGTATAAGTGGACAAGTGTTTTAAATCAGCAATAGCTGGCAAGCAGTCTGTCAGCTTTGGCCAAACCACAGCCACCGGTGGTCTCCTTCAAAGTATCCGTTGTGTTCAACCATCCAAACAGAGGAGACTGGAGGAAAAGCAAAAAAAAAAAAAAAAAAAAAAAAGCACCACACAGAGGGGGCTCAAACAGGGACCCTAGTGTCCCCACAGCATGATGTTTGTCACTGTGCTCTCCTAGTCCATTCCCCACTACCGCTGCACAACATAATCCTCCAGTTTTGTCCTTTTGCTTAGTTGGCCTCCAGAGCCATAACACTTGCACACTGGGCTGCAAAGAAATGGGCTGAGAAAAAGAGCAACTTGGCTTAGAGCAGCAGCTTTTTTATGCAGCCTCAACTCTGTCCAAAGCAGCCCCAGGAATTAAAACGGGACAAACGTCATTCTTCTCTCAGTAGCCTGGTGACAGCAGATCCACTGTGAGAGTATGGGCGGTAAGTCTGCTCTCTGATCCAAAGTTGCAATCACATCAGAGGGTCTTCTTCAACTGTTGGGAAAGTTTTTTGATTAACATAATGCATGCAAAAATATGGACACAGCCTTCTGGAGAGAAACTGTCACTGTCAAAAGCACAAATAAAGGAGCTACGTTTAGTGAAAAACAGAGTACGAAAGATAATTTCTTTCAGCTGAGCAAAGTCTCCCCTGATTCCTCTCTAATAGGTGCTCCTGCTTTCCTCTGTGTGTGCAAATCCACACGTTTCTAATCGGCTCTCTTCAAGCTGGGACAATCTTAGCATTCCCACAGAGAGGTGGGATAAAAACCTGGCACGTCCAGCCTCACTGTCAGCAGGACTAACATTGTATTTCAGACCATCTGGAGCTGATTATAAACACAACCAACATGGAAGATTGTCCGCTGTGTTGTCTGACAGACTACAGCACTGCTTTTAAAGAGACACACTTTAAATACAGATCACAAGCTGCTCTGTGCAGTCACAACAAATGCAGTAAATGAGTCGGAAGTGGCTCACATGATAAGGTTAATGTTGTTTGACTTTTACCACAGGGCAGCTATCCAGTAAAACCTAAGAGCATTAGAAATACCTGCATTGCCCAGTGTGAGCTCAGAAACACCGCAAATGGTTAATGCATTTAGCTGGTTAGCACATTAGCCTGTCAAACTTTAGTAATCCCGGTTACTTCTGGTCGGATATCACGAATACGCAGCTAAACAAGCTAGCGCTAGCACCGATACCTTCATTTATTAAGTTTCCACATTAGAGTGGTTTGTGAGCAAGAGACGACAGCGTTACTGTGAAGATGTGTCATGATAAACGTCGGTGAACAGCAGTCACATCTGTGTGTGTGCAGCCTGAGAGGAGCCTGAGAGGAGCCTGTGTGCAGCCTGTGTTTCAGCCTGTGTGCAGCCTGTGTGCCGCCTGTGCTGCTACATGGATGTCCAACATTAAGACAATACGTGACTGATGTGTCTTTCTACGGAAACGTCAGCTAACATCAATGAACGACCTTGGGACCACGACTCTGTGTGAACAACATGAGAAGTATATCTGACATTACCTGTAAAATGAGAGTAATCCGGTGGTGTGTGGAGCCCAGAGGTTTGCGTGCTTTTAGCTGCAGGCTGACAGATTACAGACTGAACCAGCTAGCTTAGCCTCTGCAGCAGCTAGCGCCACTGAGCTGCTGCAAAGGATCATGGGAGGAGAGGAGCTGCGCATCAGTCAGTGATTGGTCAACAGCTTCAGCAGCTTTTCAAAAACAACCTTTTATTTCGTTTTGAGACAGAAATATGAATCCAGTGTGTAAAAGCAATGCAGTATAGTTTAATTTTTTGAGGGCTGGATCCCCGATGAATGAATATGATGAGAATGCAATCAGCGAGAAGTTTATTAAAATAAAATAAGATAAGATAATCCTTTATTTATCCCACAATAAATAAAAAAAATAAAATTAAGAATGTACAAAAAAATAGATATATACTAAAAATAGATTTAAAAAAATGAAAAATTGATCAGCTGAGCTGCAGTTTTGACAGAAATGTAGTCAGAATATTCTGTGTAACACAGACATGCACACAGTGCACATAAAGTATAACACGTTAAAATAGGGAACATATATAAGCTAATTTATAATAAAAACAACTATATATAAAAACGTATTTTTAAAACAGTATAAACAAGTGGTTGAGTAAATCAGGAGTGCAAACAACTGTTGTTTTGAGCCCTTAACATTGAGTTATGTAACTGATCATGAATAATAGGTTAACTTCTTCTTTCTTTTTTTCCCAGAGATAGCCTACACACACAAAACTTTCATCCAGGTGGAACATTGTATTGGAGGTGGGGGTCTTTGTTTCTAAATGCAGAATGGTCAGCCTTTAGGCGAGAAGAATCATAAAGCCAGTATTGGTGGGGTGTACCCCTATTGGCTGTTGGATCACCTTTATTATTCACAAGGTCCAAAATCCAAAAGTCCAATGAAAAGATGACTCAGGGCATAAAATAAACGCATGTCAATCATTCATTTGAAACTTTAGACTAAAAGCAAATGAAACCAAGTTATATATGAGGTTGTACAAAAATAAAAATAAAAATCTGCTATTCTGGAGTTTTTATTTTTTTAGAGATTCAGATCTAATAAAAACTCGATCACTGGATGCACCTGAAAAGTAATGTCAAGATGTGTCATGATGCAACAATTTGTGTGTCTGAGGCATTGTCCTTTAAATGGATTGGCTCAAACATTGCTGCTGTTTCTGATTATTATATCACCAATTACTTGTGTGACATCTGTAAAATTGAACACCACTGCACAGGTAAAAAAAAAACAACAACCTGAGAAGTCCATTGTGTAAAATACAATGCTGCGTTGCAGACGAGTCCCATTATTGAGTTCTTTAAACGGATCATTCAGGAGCTCTTTCTGTGTTTATGGAAACTGGAGCTTAGCTGACATTTCATTAATAAATTAAACAGATTGTGTGGGACACAACATGAACAGATGGTGTTGTTTTGGATTTGTTTAGTCATAAAAGACTGATAGATTTTGGTGTGATCCACATTGCCACAGCAAAATTTGTATGATTTAGTTGTGAAAAGTATTTTTCAGAGAGCTAAATGAAAGATTTTTTAATGAATAGATTTCCTGAAGGTATTATCTATCTCTAAACAAAGTTGTGAAGATGAATAAATGTTTACACAGCTGGTTTTTATTTTGATTTCAGATTGGGCCTCCTCTCTTTGGCTCACTGATGCTGGGGCTGGTCCTCGTGGATCTCCTGTGGATCTGGTATGAGGTTTCACAGCAAGCCCAGCCTTTTAGAAAATATTTACCAAGTATCCATGAAGGATCTTCTTTCTAAGTCACAAAGCAGGCATCGTAATTTGAGTGCCTGAACAGGTGTATCTGAGCACGCAGCCTGAAGGGAAGTACCTTGTCTCTATGGCAACTAAGGTGTACAACAATGATGCTAGCCCATCCTGGAAAACGAGAGTCCCCAAGTGACTGATGCGGGAAATACCACACCAGTGCACTTCCTTTTGTGCTTGTGAACTGAAGAAAGTTGTTGTGGTGAATGTATTTTACATTTTGGACTTTTCAGGTTAAGTCAGATTATTGTGTTATTGATTTATTTGATTCTTTTTCAGTTATTTTCTATTTTTTAATACTTTACTTTATACTTTATTACTTTATACTTTATTTTTGGGCTTCTGAAACTTCTAATGGTACAACATCCTTTATATAAGTCTTGAATGGTTAATTCATTGTTTAATAATGCTTCATAGCTCTGAAACAAACTATGGGTAAAACTAACTATTGGGTTGCCAGGTTTTCAAAATATCACTCTGATCAGTGTTTATTCTCTCGTTTTCTTTCTGGTCTTAGAAATCCTTAAAGGGATACTTCACCCATTTGCATTAAGCTTTGTATCATTAGAAACCTGGTAGTATTTTTGAATGGTCGTGCATCCCGCCCTCATTTTCCCCTGAGATGGGAAATCTTTGTATTTCTAAGTCTGAAAAGGAGCTTCCAGTGACGCAAAATGAGGATTTTTGTGTCACTGGAAGCTGTTGTTGTTAGCGTGGTGAAACTACATCGCTAGTTCCTCATATTTTCGACCACTGAAGCTACAGACCAATCAGTGGGTGGGACCTCACTCCCAGAATCAAAACTTAACGTCTGCCAAAGCCCGTTAGCTATGCTAACGGGCTTTGTGGAGAAAGCTGATAATGGCGAAAAAATATAAATATAGCGGCGAGATGGCTGCTGCTGACAGGCCGGTCTTGTGTTTTGGCTGCTGTGGCCGATGGCCGCTGGGGCCGGCGCTGGCCACCGAAATCTCTGAATCAGTTGAGGAAATGGTCTAATGTGTTGAAGTAAATGTGTCAGTAAATGTTTTTATGACTATATTTCTACTGCTATATTGTATATTTTGGAGAAACTGTAACGATTGAATTTCCCTCTGGGATTAATAAAGTATTTCTGATTCTGAACTAGAGGACCTTAGTGCGAGTGGCCTGCGGTGCTGTGCATTCTGGGATTTGGTGTCTTTCATCCACATGAGTCAAAAAGACACTTTCTGCCTTTTCACGGCCAAGAAGGCACCAACTGCAACATGTATTTCACATTTCTACTACATATATGACCTAATGTCAATACAGATTCATGTTTCAACAGGTGAAGTATCCCTTTAAATATAAGTGCACACGAGTCTGTCATTTTCTCATAGTAGATCAAGTCTACATCTTTAAATGTTGACAATGTGTTTACATTAATGAAGCCTGAAGTTGTAAATGCTAAACAGGTTGTTTATGAAGGGATTAGGTCATGAGAAAGTGATTTCTCAGTCACTCAATCTAAAAGTTATTCAGCTGCTTAACTGTTAAGCCTTACTTAATGATCGATTAACTTTTAATACAGCAATTACTTTCAATTTATAATCCCTTCATACAGTATGGTTTCAGACAATGGTTCTAAAAAAACAGAAAAAGGCTCTTTGAACCATAGCTGAATGCATAAAAAACATTGAGTCAGAATTTTTAAGTCCCCCTCATTTTATTTCATGTGCAGCTTCATAGCCCCACAGTGTCTTTGTGGACAGAGGAGAGCCACAGCCTGGATATTTAACCAAATAAAGCAGAGAGGGAGCCTTGGAAGCTCAGGCTTATATCTTCCTTTTATGGTCATGTAGTGTGGGCAGATGGGCGGGACCGACACCTAAACGTCATCAACGTGCTCCTGGCACCCGGAAGCGAAGCAAGATGTAACGTAGTGTGACTGGAGTGAGCATTGTTTGTGGGAAAAGTAGAGTGTAATTAGATATTTTATTATCCTTAAAAGTAATTTTTGCATTGTCTGTAGTACAGTGAAGATGGAAGTTAGCGAAAAAGAAAAGGTAAGTTATCCAAATAGTCGTCTGTTGTTGTAGCTTCGCAGATTTGATTCAGGTGATAGTTTTCATCATTTTCTTCATCCTGAGTTCTCGTAGCTAACCTTTTCTCTTGAACCCAGGACTCGACAGCTCTGAAGGAGGAGGGGAATACCCTGTTCAAGGCAGGAGATATGCAGGGTGCTGCCTGCTGTTACACCAAAGCATTAAAGTTGAGTGACAGAGAGACAGAGAGAGCTGTCCTTCACCGCAACAGATGTGCCTGCTACCTGAAGCTGGAGCAGTTTAACAAGGCAGAGGCTGATGCGTCCAAAGGTGGGATAAACACCTGCTCATGTCACACATCACAGATACACGTTTTTATGTTATTATAAATCAGCCTGACATCACCCAACAAAATTAAGTCAGGTCAGTTTTATGAAATAGACCATAATGTCAAATCATACATCCCTATTGTAGTCACACTTAAAGCTCCATCCTCAGGCGTAGTAACTTACAGTTACCTGCTGAGGACTTTATCTGTGATGTATTTACAAAACATGGATGCTGAGCGACATCAGGTTTGGGGAGCATTGTGTTAAAAACTAGTGCATTATTGTATAGTTTCTGCGTATAATATGTCTACACTCATGCACTTCTATGTCAGTACTGTCCATTTACAACTCTGTTCTTGCACATTTAGTGCATATTTAATTTTCCTATTTAAGACTAGTAATCAATTCAATTCAATTCAAAAAACTTTATTTGTCCCCGGGGGGCAATTAAAAGTCACATGCTAAGTTAAATCCTGGTTGTATATAGTCACATTCTTAGTTTTTATATTTTTAGTGCTTATTTACTTTGTATTTAATATTATATTGTGTTTAGATTTGCTAACATTGTGTTTTTTACTCATATTGTGTGTTTGGATAACCTGCTGCTATAACGCCACAATTTCCCAGTTTGGGATCAATAAAGTAATTCTATTCTATTCTATTTTATTTGAATTGCAGCTTAGCAACTCTTTTACACTATGATGATAAAATGATGATAAAAATTAGACTCCTGGGTACAGTATGTTTCAGAACTACTCTTAACACTTATCAGTGATTGAGGGAAGCACTAGCAAGTAATGGTAGTTTGATAAGTTGCACTTACGGGTAAAATTAGAGTATTGGTTTAACAACTTTCACCCCATATGGAAATATAAATATCTACGTGCTTTAGGTGCATTCATGTATTGAATTTGACAACTGGTATTCTTTGCAGCCCTTGATACTGACCCAGGTGATGTGAAGGCCAGGTTCAGGAGAGCTCAGGCTTTCCACAAGCTTGGTCGGCTTGACCAAGCTTTTATGGATGCTCAGAAGTGTGCCCAGCTGGAGCCTAAAAACAAAGCCTTCCAGGATTTGCTCAGACAGCTGGGAGCACAGATCCAGCAAAAGGTGTGTTTTTGTTGTTTCCATAAAGAGGGCATGAGAACTGTGTCTTGTATTTGAAACAGTGATCTGGAGAAAGTGTTGCTAATATGAGTATTTTCTCATGAACTTGTAGTCGGTGCAACTAAACTCCACGGATGCTCGTGTGCAGCAAATGTTCTCCCTCCTCTTAGATGCATCTGCAGGTGACTCAGATCGACAGAAGGTAAGGGGAGCTCCAACATAAACAGACATAATAACCTGCCTTCACTCTTTTCTTTTGTGTTTTGACTTGTATGAATTCATTTTTGTCTTTTATCTGTCTGAAAAGTTGTAGTATACCAAATGAACACGGTTCAATGTGTGATTTCAGGCTGCCCAGAATTTAGTGGTTTTATCTCGAGAAGACGCAGGGGCTGAGCAGATCTTCCGAAATGATGGAGTGAAGCTAATACAGAAACTTCTTCAATCAAAGCAGGAGGAGATCGTCCTTTCTGCCTTGAGAACCCTTGTGGGGTTGTGTACAGGGCATCAGTCCAGAGTAAGTGTGACTTTCCATTGCATCTTTACTGAATTCAAAGCATGCAAATATATATGTTCTGCCTGGAACTTAAAGTATAATACAGGGAGTGTTTCCATGGTGATGACCATCTTATTTGTCATTTATTTCTTACATTTCTATCAATTTTTTTCCATCTAGTATAATTTCTGCTATAGCACAGATTAGTAGATGTTTATTTACATCTACGTCCATATAGGTCAAGAAGAAGTGTACTCAACACAATGCTAGTTGATTGCTGTGCTGATTTGTAGCCTACTGTTAATTAATCTACTTTTGCTCCTAGACTATGGCTATAGTGAATGAGTTGGGAATGGAGCAGCTGTGTGCAGTAATGGGATCAGGAGCCTCGGCTGTGTCTCTGGCTGCCTGCCACCTGCTGCAGGTTATGTTTGAGGCTCTGACAGAGGGAATGAATAAAGAAATTCGCGGGAAAGATGAAGCAATTCTTCCTGGTGAGTCTGGTCTCTGGCCTTGTTTTATTTGAAGTTGGCTACACTTGAAAGTTGACCTATCACAAGGTTTTTTTTAATTTTGTCTCTGTGTGCTCTTTTAACCAACTTTGACTCTATAAATTTAACACAGAACCATCCAAAGAGCTACGTTCAATGCTACGCCACCTCTTGGAAATGATGTCAGCTTCCAGTGTGTCAGGACAGGGCAGAGACAGCGCCATCAACCTCCTGGTCAAACAAGTTCCTCGCAAGTCTTTGAAAAACCCAGATAACTCGGTCACCCTATGGGTGATAGACCAGGGTATGAAACACACCTGCACATACCTCTTATGCTATGGTGGATACAAAACAGATATAGACCCTCTGCCAAACATATCCATTACACATTTCACACTACTAAATGAAGGAGGAGGGAACGTTTACTGTGGGTTTTCAAATCCCTATATAACAAACTATAACAAACTACAGCCTCATGTCCATTTCAGACACTCGGCCACTAGCTTTATCTGGCATTAATGAACTCTTTGTCTTCCTTCAGGTTTAAAGAAAATCTTGGAAGTGGCTGGGACGGTCCCTGAGCTCTCAGAAGGGATTCCTCTTACAGACAACTCCCACATGAGCTGCTCTGTCTTGCTTAATAAACTTTACGATGACCTAAAGAGCGACAAAGAAAGGGAGAACTTCAACAAGCTGTGTGAAGAATATGTGCAGTGAGTCAGACACTGAAACTATTCTGATAGCTCCCTTAGTCTTATTTACTTGGGCCGCTTCATGCTGCAGCTATGAATGAATTGTTTTTCATAACCTTTTTTTTAATCTGATACTTATCTTGGTAGACAACACTTCAGCAGACCTGGCCCGGAGGCCAAGCTGCGGGCTATCCAGACAGTATCCGTGCTCCTCCAAGGACCGAGTGAGGTTGGTAACAGAACCATGGAGATGTCAGGAATGATGGATGCAGTGATCTCTCTGTGTGCCTCGGAAGATGTTACACACCAGCAGGTGGCAGTGGAGGCTCTTATCCATGCTGCAGGAAAGGCCAAGAGAGCCTCCTTCATTACAGCCAACGGCGTTGCTCTTCTGAAGGACCTCTACAAGAAGAGCGAGAATGACAGGATACGTGTTAGAGCCCTGGTGGTAAATGTCACAGCAAAACTCGTTTTTTATTTATTGAGACAGATGCAGAAAAGACCATCTCTGCATAATAATAAATGAACTATGGTTTGTGATTGTTGTTACGCAGGGTTTGTGCAAGCTTGGATCAGCAGGGGGGACAGATTTCAGCATGAAGCAGTTTGCAGAGGGATCCACGCTTAAGCTCGCCAAGCAGTGCAGGAAGTATGTTTGCCTGAGTTGATTATTGAACCTGGGTACAGATTAAGAAAGATGTTTTCACAAAGTGAAAGCTGATTCAAAACAACAATTAAGTGTTTTTCTTTTCTTGCATATGAAAATACGTAGCAAGCTGTACCTTTTTTCTCTTGTAGGTGGCTGTGTAACGAGGCTCTGCCCGCAACCTCCCGCCGGTGGTCGGTGGAAGGCCTCGCCTACCTCACGTTTGATGCTGATGTGAAAGAGGACTTGGTGGAGGACAAGAATGCTCTCCTGGGAATGTTTGAACTCGCTAAGGTTTGACTTGAGAATGTATTTTAAGGTTATCAACTTGTGAAAACAGGACACTAGTTCAATGATGTCGGATCCCTCTCAGAAGTTGTTTTTTTTTTTACACTATTTGAAACCTTCACATGGAATTATACTAAAAAAAATATTGTGTTTACCAGAAGAGCTTTGACGATCTTGTTTTTTGTTCCCTGTGTTCCATCAGTCTGAAGATAAGACGGTGCTCTTTGCTGTCGGCTCCACATTAGTGAATTGCACCAACAGCTATGATGTTGAGAAACCAGACCCTCAGATGGTGGAGCTGGCTAAGTATGCAAAGCAGCATGTGCCTGAGGAACATCCCAAGGTATTATTTTTTTATGTAGAGCTAACATCACACAATTTGCCCTTATTATTACCCAGAATCTTTATTTCTCAAACTTCTCTTCAGGTGTTTTTTTCTGCCTGCATTTCTCTTTCAAAGATTTGTTGTGCTACATAAACATGTCTGTCTTTGTCTGTCAGGATGCTTCTTCCTATGTGGAGAAAAGACTGGCGAAGCTGTTGGAGGCTGGTGTGGTGTCTGCGTTGGTGTGTATGGTCAAAAATGAGAGTCCTGCCCTTACTGAAGCCTGCAGGGAGTGTATAAGCAGGTAGGGAAATTGCACTTCCACTTTCCCAGTTACTGTTTTCACCCTGTACAATTTCTGTAAATGCCATTTCTCTTGGCAGAGTCTTCTTGGCTTTGGTGGAGCGACAGGAGGACCGAGGCACAGTGGTAGCACAGGGGGGAGGAAAGGTAGAGCACTGTGATAAATGTACACTTTTTTTTTCTGCACACTGACCAAACGGCTTGCATTTAGGAGGTTCACAGTTATTATTCTCTCTACTCCACAGGCTCTGATACCACTGGTGTCTGACAACACAGACGTTGGTAAAATCAAAGCAGCGCAAGCATTGGCAAAGATAACCATCACATCTAACCCAGAGATCGCCTTCCCAGGAGAACGGGTGACAACTGCATTCTGTAGAAAATCTTCCAAGTTAAAAACAAACCTAAAGAACTTTGCTGTTTAACCTCGTCTCACTTTCTGTTGTCAGATCTATGAAGTGGTGCGTCCCCTGGTCAGTCTTTTGAGTCTTGAATGCACGCTGCTGCAAAACTTCGAAGCACTCATGGCTATCACCAACCTGGCTGGCATCAGTGAAAGACTCAGGTTTGCCACTAGGGGGAGGTCTCTGCTAAGAATATAATACAGTGTCTTGTTGTACATGTAACACAGTCAGGTCAGGTTTTGTAAGAGTTTGAACTTGTTGGCAGAAACCCAAAAGTGTCACTACTTTTTCTACTTTTTGATATATTCTGCAAATCAACTTCTCATTTACCAAAAGGAAAACAAACTTATAAATGCAATTATTTCAAATCTCCTAATGCTGGCCATCTTAATTTTATTTATCAAAGTTGTGAGCTGGTCCTGTTTTTTTTACATAACTAAGGAGACCTCACTTCAGTGAATTTGTCCCTTTAATGCATATGCCTTTATGTTGTATTACTCTGCCTTCCTTGTTAAGTCTTAATTCATATTTATTGTTCACTGTTGAGGGCATTTACTTATTGGTGACTTGTGTTGTTCCACAGACAAAAGATCATAAAGGAGAAGGCCGTCCCAAAAGTGGAAGGTTACATGTTTGAAGAGCACGAACTGGTCCGAGCTTCTGCCACAGAGTGCATGTGTAATCTGGTTTTAAGCACAGAGGTAAAACATTTTTTTATTTAAAAAGACTGCCATGGATTATTCTGTGGCACATATATGTTGAAAAGTTCGAGTGGTGGGTTTTTGGTGTTGTCCTCAGGTGCAGAAGCTGTACCTGGCCACAGGGAGCGATCGCTTGAAGCTGCTTGTGCTGTACAGTGGAGAGGAGGATGAGAGGCTGCGGAAGGCTGCTGCAGGAACTCTGGCCATGCTGACAGCTGAGCTGCCTGAGCTCTGCGCCCGTATCCCTGGAACAGTAAGCATACCACTGCCCCCTGACTTCCACCAGTCTGCCCTGTCACATACTTTTATGAATCATTTTTCTATTTTATGACCCCTTATTGTCCTCTCTTCTCAGACAACCCACTGGCTCGAGATTGTACAGACACTGTTGCTCAGTGAAATATCTGACCTGCGTCACCGTGGAGTAGTCATAGTTCACAACATGATGCAGGCAGAGAAGAGTCTGGCTGAGACCCTCATAGAGAGTGAAGCTTTGGAGATTCTTTCTGTCCTGGCAAAAGGGGGAGAGGGCATGCCTGAGCCTGTTTCTAAGATCGCTCAGAAATGTCTGGACAAGGCAATAGAGTACAACATCATAATGTCCAGGGACGGAAAGAGCAAAGAACCTGAACCATGAAAACACTGCTGCAGTATGTGAATGTGCCTCCAGGCAAAGTTAAGTGCTCTGAGGGTTATATGGGACCAGTGAAGTGATTTCACTTTTGCAGAAAATCAGTCCGGAGGGGCACAAGCTGAAATACTCCAACGTCTTAACTAGAAACTTAAGGCATTTAAAAAAAGAGGAAATGTATTCAATGAAAACCAGCTCATACTTACAGTGTGTCACAAATGAGCTTTGATTGTTTTTTTCACAATGTTTTTACACATATTTTATTTTTCTTTATTATGCTGAAAGTTCCACATTGAGACCAAATTGTCCACTCTATACACACTTAAGATTGACATGCTTCATATTTACACAATATATGGCTATCCTTACTAAAAATTTATTGTCTTTAATTTCCATTCGATCTTAGCGATCTTCTACTTAATTCATTTTTATATAATTGTTCTTGAAGAACAACAAGCAGAAACACAATCATGGTTTTATTACTGTCTGCTTTTGTATTTCATGTCATTGTAGTTCTTGTCACTCCACTACATTCCAAGTGTGATAATTGTATGGCTGGTTGTTGTAGTTTTTTTGTTGACTGAACACATGGGCAGAAAAAAATAAACTCTCTGTACCCGAACTGTCGTTTCCCTTCATGCAAAGTAATTTAAACTCCTCCGTCAAATGTTAAATGCAGCCTTACGAGGGCGCATGCGCAGTACTCCCCGATGCTAACTACGTCCTCGTTCAAAGTTTGCGGATAACTGCGCTTCAATGAGAAACCAAACCAAGCCCAAGCTTTTCTGATGAGGTGGTTTGGCTTTGGCTTCAATGCATTTGGACAGATATATGTCCACGTCAAAGCACCCAAAGGAGAAAGTAGCGACGCTGTGAAGGACGTAACAGTGAGTAGCCCGACAGAGCTAACCTTAAGCAGGGACTGCTGCTGGAAATCTGTACAAGTTAAAGCAAGCTGGAGTCGAAGAGCATCTTCTCTTCTGGATGGTAAGTCTGTCAGGAGACAAACAACGCTCCACTCTGACACTATTATTACGTAAATGAATCACAGCCTTTATATAGTTTTAATCTGGTGTATTCTTTCTGTTGTCTATTCATCAGGGGACAGCCATGTGTGCCTGGCAGGTTTCTGTGCAGTCCAATCCAATGAGTCTTATGTGAAACACAGCAGTGGCTGTACAGATGCCTTCATCAGTGAATCTTACCTGACCCTGGTTTTCCCGGACAGAGTCGAGTCCTGGGATCTGCAGAAAGAAGTGGACTCTCCGGCATGGAGCATGGAAATAAAAACACAACCGGACACCAGAGGTAGCCTTATCCCTAACTCATTTCATTTTGCTCATCTTCTATTATACCTGAAATACTTCCATTAGGATATAACATCTTGTTGCTTTTTAGGACCCCCTTTGAGTCTCCCATTGGTCCCTGGGGGCTACATAGCCATGAAGCCACCTTTCTATCGCTCCTTATCACCACATCTGAAAGCTAAGAGTCTGTCACTGAGTGCAGAGCATGCCATCCTCCTCACTGCCTCTGGAGCTGTGTACACATGGGGACTTGGCAGGTATGCAATTCTCACATCCTTTTTTTTTTTGTATGGAATGTGATCAACGAGAACTTCATGCATACCTTGATCTTTTGCATTTGGATGTTATGACCTGACAGCCATGGTCAGCTGGGGCATGGAGGCCTCACCTCTGAAGAGGAGCCCAGGGCAGTTGAAGCACTCTGGGGGATGCCCATGAGCTGTGTCGCTGCAGGAGCTTGGCACTCTGTGTGCATCAGTGGTGAGTGTCCTACAGGATGTTAAAACAGTTTATAGCATCATCTTGACCTCCAATGATGTTTATTTATTTTATTTTTATTTTCAGATGGAGGGGACCTTTATGTATGGGGCTGGAATGAAAGTGGCCAGCTTGGACTTCCATCACGAGGTCTAAGAAAAGCTCTGCAGCAGCAAACAGGCCAACAAGCAGGTACATGTGTTTCCTTATTGAAAGAGATATTAAAGAAATACAATATGGGGTACAGTTCACGCCTGTGAAACCCTGATCTTCGATACAAACATTTCAGCAGTTTCTGTAAAGGATGCTGCCAATTGGTTAAAGGAGAATAACAGATAAGAGGACTGTTAGGATCATTAGGGCCGACTGATTCTCCATTATTTTATCTGAAAGGACATCCATGTTTACTTTTTTAAATGTATGTTTGAAATTATAAGGAACATTAACTAAATTATCTTTGTCAGTACTATATTGCACTTTGAACTAAGGTATAGAAAGCATTTGAGTTATTAGAAATGCTGAACATACTTTGTGTACGCACCATCCTCTTAACTTTTGTTTCATGTTTGTTGCCTGTTTTGCTGCTTATATTAGCCTCTTGAATTAACTAAATAAAAAGTCCTAAGCACAGAAATTATGAATACACAGGATCAGGAGCACCATGCCAGCATGCCACCACACCTCCTGCCAAAGAGCCACAAGAGGGAGAGCAACATGAAGAGGTATTTATATCTATCCAGGCGTTCCCGGCTCTGCTGGATGTCACTCCATCGTGTGAAATCAGGACAGTCAGCTGTGGCTGCCGACACACAGCTGCTGTAACGAGTAAGAAACCTCACTTGAACAGCTGATGCACAATTTCTTGACAAGTCAAAAGTCTTCGTGATCATTATCTCAAATGTTCTTAAAACAGCCGAAGGTGACCTCTACACATGGGGCTGGGGTAAGCTTCTTAAATTTGAACCTACATATTTATATCCTTTAAATTTTGTAGCATGTTCCCGATACCAATAGGTTATCTTTAAGCACATCTTAAGTAAGTCTTAAACTTTCATCTTTTCTTCTGTTACTATTTCAGGTGACTACGGCCAACTTGGACACCAGAGTTTATTCAGTTTGGATGAGCCCCGGCGTGTGGAGTTCTTCAGGGAGCAGCAGATGTGTGTGGTTGATGTTGTGTGTGGAGCGTGGAACACTTTTGCTGCTGTGGTCGAGGCGGAAGAAAAAGCTTGTACTTCAAATTAAAATGGGATTCCCTTGATCAGTCGCCCACTGAACTTTTGACAGAGTACCAGGAAGTGTATTAAGTACAAAAAAAATACAATGCTTTGAGTCAAATGTATTTTGTACATAGAATATCCCTTCTGTCTGTTGAAACAAAGAACTTTTATAATAAAATGTTTTTGGAAATATTTTTAATTTTCTTTAAAAGAAATTTTAAAAAATGACAGATTTATATTTCACAAACAATTCATGACAAGGCAGTACATGTAAATATAATTTAAGGCAAATATCTAAAAATTATTCTACTTGAAAATTAAACACCATGAGATTTATAGGGTGATGCTTTTCCACATCTTGCTAGAGGTCTTCACAGCACAATCTTGAAAGAACTGTTGGAAACCAAAGTATAATAGAAGCAGTTAGAGTAAACAAGAAAACACATTTTGATTTGTAAAAGTACATATTAGTGATGACATCAATACGATTTCTAGTCACCTGACAAAATCTGGTGATCTTGAGATGACATGCTGAAACTCTGAGAGGTTAACAGTTCCATCTTTGTCAATGTCAGACTCTTCAAGAATCTAAAGAACATGGGGGGGAGAGGAAGGTTAACGACTTGCAACCAAAATGTGTTTGAATTTTGTAGTTTGCCCCCCTTACTGTTTAAAATTGTGAACTCACATTGCCAATGAGCTGCCTCATTTCTTCAGTCGTTAGTCTTGTGTCATCTGTCTCACCGGTCAGGCAGTTAACGAGCTTCTCCAGATCACCACAATCAAGAGTTCCATCATCGTCAAAGTCTGTAAATATCATTGAGCACAATACAGTCAGATATCCTTGTGTTTAAATCAATAATTACATTTATTTATTTTTTTAAATCTTATTTACCAAATATACGGAATGCATAGTGGGATTTGATTTCCAAGGTAGCAGAGTCGCTGAAGGCACTCAAGAGGTCGAGGAAGTCCTCAAATGTCAGGCTTCCATCTTTGTGCTCAGATGTGGAGAAAACATGGCAGATTCGTTTCCTGAAAGGGTTTGACTGTAACAACAAAAGGTACAAGGGTCAGTTCAGTTTATTAGTACTTGCAGCACTTCCTCATAGACATACAAAAAAAATTACTTGTAGCACTTCCTTGTAGACATACAAAACAGAAATTCAAGACTTTCATTGAACAATGAACATAATAAACAATGAGCAGCACTTCGGTCTGTTTTGATGTTAAATATATTGTCACCTTGAGCTCTGGCAGAGCAAGAATCCTTCCCATCGATATTCTTATGTTTGGACGATCTTTCTCATCTTTTGTGAGCAGTTCAGTGAATCTCTTGTGAGCACTAAACAAAAAGATAATGATTACTCAGCAAAAGCAGTGCTAGATTGATTACATTCTGATTTTGGTAAAAATGTGTTCTGTGGCATGCAGGATCACTCACAGAAGAATTTCTTGTTTTGTCAAAAATGTCAGCTCCTAAAAATCAAAGTGGTTATTATTAGATTGGCAACAGCTAAATGTACCTTAAAACACGTTTTGTGTGTTACTTTTAATAGTTGTACTTCTTTAAATAATGCATGCAGACTGGCAAAATTTGCATTTTCTATTTTTACAGGCGTCATGACATGATTACTGGCACTTCAAGAAAAGCCCATTAAAAGTGATAAGTTTAACTTTAAACTTAAATAATACAACTACAGACTTCAAGTAAATCTAAACGTGCTTAAAATACCAAAACACAGCTCCTACGTCATTCTTGGTTATTATTACAAGGCGTATCAACAACTGCACGCAACTTTCGGTACTCGATCAACTTTACAAACATAATTGCTTTTGGGGATCACTTCAGGTACTTACTTGGTATTCTGAAAGCAAATCCTTACCAAGTTGACTTGCTGTAGTTCCCATCTTGATATTCTAAACTTAAAAACGACTTTTGTTGTTGGCAACTCACCCTTAGCGGAATTACCAAGTAGTTGGTTGTGTAAGGCGTACTTCCGGTATCACACTGATGCATTCCCTTTCCTGTTTGGTTACGTAGCGGTTTCCATAGTGACATACTTGTAAACAGCTGCAAGTAACAGGGCGCTACTAATAAACATTTAACTTTACTGAGTCTTTAATTTGAGACATTTCACAAGTAAAGGAGATTGGACTGCTTTACCTTTCAACTTTAATTTCAAGAGTGCCCCTGGTTATTTTTAAACTACTTTTGTAGGCTTTTGCAATCAACTCAAAATAATTCCAAACCATCAAAATGGAAAACTTAATCTTAAAATGTTGTTTTTATTTGGAGTGCAATGTTAATAAACGTAAGATATAGCCTATACATAATACATTACAACATAACCATCTTAAGCATCGTTGTTTTGTTTGTTTGATTTGCAGTTTGTCCAGTTTGTGTTCAACAGTTATCTTTAGTGACGTGATGCAGCCATGAACTATCATACAAATGGAGTTTGTCAGTCTTCTTCATCAAATTTTACAATGGAAAACACTTCATCTTTACACAATTGTCTTTTTGTTTTCTGTGTTTTTGTTGTTTTTTGCTTTCTCTTTTACTATTGTAGCCTAGGCTATATAACTTTTGAAAACCAATCCAAAGTAAAATTCAAACTGTTCCAGTCATTTGATGTAGATCTTAACATCATCGTTTATTAGCCAAAAACAAAACAAACACAGCATCAAAACGTTTTAATATTTAATAATGATTACTTTAAAACATTGTAAAACAAATACGAGATAATATTTAAAAAACTACCGGTACATCTTCTGTAACAAAAGCATACTAACTAATTTTTCTGAGCAAAGCTGAATGATGATGAGAAATAGACAAGGAATTTTGACAGGAGGTTCAGCAGATGATTACTTCAAGCTCTTGAGAGTTAAGCTCCTTGGTTTGTCTCCCAGTCTGTTGTATCTGAAACACACACAAATAGAATAATTCTTAAAGCAAGAAATAAAACAATGTGGGAAAGATGATCATTTTACAATACTTTTTTATTTATTCCTACTAACAATTTAGATGTTTGTACCTCTCATTTTTGTTCCTTCCTTGGTTTCAGCTGGAATACCGATCCCATACTCATTTTCAGCAGTAATTCTGAAGAAGTAGATTCCTCCCTCCTCCAGGTCAGATACCTTGTAGGACAGTCGGCGGCATTTGTCCGTTAGTCTTGTCCACCCTTTTCTGCTGATGTCCCGAATATCTACAAGGTAGTGCTTGACAGAGGCTCCTCCCTCATTCTCTGGAATATCCCAACAAACAGTAGCAGAGTTCTTTGTCACATCCTTAATTGCTACATTTGTTGGCGGACCAGGTGAATCTAAAACCCTGACATTCAGCGTCAAAGAGGTAGATCCAACAACATTTTGCAGTTTGACTATGTACTTGCCAGAGTCATCGCGTGTTGCCCCTTCCACTGTGATTGAGGTCACAGAGTTGTACGTGTTGACCAATCCTCTGACTCTAAGGTCTACATTTGCCTTGTCCCATGTCACACTGGGAACAGGTTTGCCTGAGAAAGGCACAGTCAAAGTGAAGGAGCTACCATCTTTAACAATCAGGGTCTTCCTCATCTCAGGGCTTATTTCGTACCTTGGCTCCTCCTCCCTCTCCATTGCCACTTCAGGTTCTGTTTCAGGACTGGGCTCACTGATACCAATCTTGTTTATTGATCTGACAATGAAAATGTACACTGCCCCTGGTGTGAGTCCAGTGACTGCAAACTCTGTTTTATCTGTGTTATGAGCACCAACTGCCCAGTCGTCTTCTGTGGATTTTCTGTATTCAACTTTGTATCCAGTGACTGCTGCTCCACCATCAAACAGCGGCTTGTTCCATGACAGAGTAATGGAACACCTGGATGAATCAACTATAATGGGTTTTGCAGGAGGGGAAGGTAGAAACGTTGGATCCTCTGCCAGAGTTAGAGGGCATGGAGAACTTGGTTCACTTAGCCCTGCAGCATTCTCAGCAATAACTCTGAATTCATACTCACATCCCTCATGCAGGCAGGAGGCTTTGACGCGTAAGTCATAGACTGGTTTCTTATTGACACGACCCCAGCGAACACCCTGCTTCTCCCTCTTCTCTATAATGTAACCACTGATGCGGCTACCTCCATCAGTGGCAGGCCTCTTCCAGCAGATAGTCATAGAATCACTGGTTGCACTTGTGACCTCAACATCCGTTGGAGCAGATGGGATTGTAAATGGATCAGTGGCCTTAACAGGCTCACTTTCTAATGTTTCACCCTCCCCATACTTGTTGACTGCTCTTACCCTAAAAAGGTATTCATTTCCTTTGAGCAACTTGGTTATTTTGCAAGTAGTTGCCATCATGTCACCATACACAATTATCCAAGCTACACGGCTGGTTTCACATTTCTCAACGATGTAGTACATGACCTCAGCACCACCAGTCTCATTAGGTGGTCCCCATGACAGGGTACATTTTTCTGCTGTGAGTCCAGAGACTTCCAGAGGTCCAGCAGGTGGTCCTGGCCTGTCCAGGACCTTGCAGGTAACAGCTCTATTGGTTGTTCCTCCAGTGCTCTGTAAGGTCAGAGTGTACTGTCCAGAGTCTTTCCTAACACTCTCTCTGATAAGTAGAGAGGTATGTGTTTTTGTTGCAATAATTTCAACCCTTCCCTTGGTGCATATATTTCTACCATTCTTCAACCAAAACACAGTAGGGTTAGGGCGGCCAGAGATGTCAGCATCTATTCTTAGGAGTTCTCCTGCCTTTACAACAACTGCTTGCCTAAATTTGTCTTCCATTGTAATTTTAGGTGGCTCTACATCATGTTGTACTGTAACAGCTCCTGTGGTTTCAGAAGGTGCACTAAACAGCTCAGCTGAATTTTTGGCAATCACACGAAAATCATACTGTTCACCCTCTTCCAGGCCAGTCACTTCCAAGAAGGTGTCCAGTAGATTTGTAAAGTTGCATTTCAGCCAACAACTATCTGGATGCTGTTTACGCTCAACAACATATCCAGTTATTTTAGCCCCACCATCATATTCTGGTTTGTCCCATGAGAGAGACACTGAGCTATTAGTTACATTGGTGACTGTAAGGCTGCTCGGGGGATCACACTGGTCTCTAGCTGCTACAGGCTGAGATGCTTTACTGCATGGTCCAACACCAGCCATATTCTCAGCATAGACTCTAAACTCATAAATCAAACCTTCTTCAACACTTGTTACCTTAAACTGGTTCTCAGTCAACAGATTTCGGTTTAACTTTTTCCACAAAATACTGCTTTGATCTTTGCATTCAATGTGATAACCAATAATAGGGCTGCCACCATCACTTTCTGGTTTGCACCATGCCACTACCATGATGGACTTGGAGGCATTTACAACAAGTAGATTTATTGGGGGACCAGGTGGCTTGAAAGGATACTGAGCAACAATATGTTGTGACTCAGCAAATTGACTTTTGCCGTAGCGATTCTCTGAAGCAATACGAAACTGATATTCAGTGCCCTGTGTTAGGCGAGGAATTTTGATTGATGTTCTGGCAACTGTAGCTGACACAGCCTGCCATATTGTGCTGCCTGTGTCTCTCTTCTCAACAACATAGTTACTAATTTCACACCCTCCAGTATAATGTGGGGGCTGCCATGACAAAGATATAAAGTCAGCGCTCACTTCATCCACATTGAGCTCACTTGGAGGTCCGGGTCTTTCAAAAACATTTATATGGATTTCAATGGATGTGGTTCCAACTGAGTTTGCTACGGTCACCTCATACATGCCAGCATCTATTCTGGTTGCATCTTTGATGGTCAACTGGGATGATGTGTCAGATGTGTACACATTTACCCTGCTTGTCTCTTTCAGCAAGTTGCCATCTTTCTTCCATTCTACAGTTGGTGGTGGTACACCCTTAAATGGAACATCAACCTTTAAATCATTTCCGGCCTTCACACTGAATATGTTGGACAGCAAATTGATAATGGGCTGAGCACTTGTGTCATTAACTGTAATTGGTACCAAAAGAGACTTTGGTTCACTTTTCCCTTTTTCATTCACAGCACTCACACGAAATAAATATTCCTTTCCTTTTGCCAGTCCATTAACAGTCACTTCATGTGCTTTACCCTCTGAACATGTGGTCCATGTGTTATCTCCCTTGGCCTGCATTTCTACAACATAATATATTATTTTGCTTCCTCCATCATGGTCAGGTTTCTCCCAAGAGATGCTTGCACTATTGCAAGTGATATGACTCAGTGTGATCCTGCCAGGAGGAAGTGGAGCCTCAGACACTTTAACAGCATCTGTGATCAGTGCTGGCAAGCCAGTGCCAAACTCATTTACAGCAAGGACACGGAAATAATAAAAGCATCCTTCCTGGAGATTGTCAATTTTGTATGAGTTTCTCATACAGTTGCTGCAGACACTTGTGAATGCCTTTCTAGCCTCCTCTCTTTTTTCTACTATATAGTGCGAAATCTTTGCTCCTCCATCAATGAGAGGTGCCTCCCAAGAGATTGAGACGGATTCTCTCTTTACATCCATCACCTTTAAGTTAGTTGGTGCGCTGGGGGAGTCCAATACTCTGACATTGATGAAAGCTGATTTTGAACCACTGTAGTTCTCAACAGTCAACACGTATTTTCCAGAGTCATTTCTATTGACATTCTCAATCAATAACACTGTGTAGGAGCTTGTCACCTCAATCTGAGCACGCTCACTGAAGGCACCACCTTCCTTTGACCATTTAACCTCAGGCTCTGGTCTACCCCTGATAGTGACAAAGAGACGTAAAGTGGAACAGGCCCTAACACTGACAATCTTCCTCAAGGCACTGTCCAGCTCAATATCTGGGGCCTCCAGTTTTTCAGCAGCTACCACAGTCCCAGGAAGATCCACAGGCTCTCCAACCCCAGCTGCGTTTATCGCACGTATACGAAAATTGTAAGAAGCATTTTCTCTCAGTCTCATCACAGTGTAGTTTGTGTTCTCTACCCCTGTGTTTGGTGTGCATGTGATCCACTCATCTTCCATTGCTTCCTTCATCTCAATAGCAAACCCACTGATGGCTGCTCCACCATCATAGATGGGCCTTGACCATGTCAGAGACACAGTTCTGCTGGAATAGTCTATCACCTTTGGGTTGGTCGGGGGACCAGGCGGATAGGAAGCTTCACATACTTTGATATACTCACTTGGTTCACTGGGTTCCCCAACACCGCCAGCATTCTCAGCCAATACTCTAAACTGATAGTAACGTCCCTCAGTGAGCCCTGTGCAGCGGAAACGCAAGTCATTAAGTCTTCTCTTGTTGCATTTAGTCCACCTAACACCTTCTTTGTCACGTTTCTCCAGGATGTAGCCATCAATTTCTGAGCCTCCATCAGTCTCAGGCCTTTCCCATGTTAGCAATACAGAGTCGCCAGTCACAGCACTCGCTATAGGGGTAGAGGGTGCACTAGGTGTTGTAAATGGGTTTTGTGCAATGAAGGGGTCGGATTCCAGAAATTCCCCAACCCCAAATTTGTTCATGGCAGCAACTCTGAATATGTATTCTTTCCCAGGTACCAGTTTTGTCACTTTGTAACTGACAGCTTCAATGTGAGAATCCACACCTGTCCATGTCACACGGCTGGTCTCCCTTTTTTCAATGATGAAGTGGGAAACACTAGCACCACCATCATTTAGAGGGGGGTTCCAGTGAAGATTACACTTCTCTGCACTGACAACTTTCACGTTCAGAGATCCATCTGGAGGACCAGGTCTATCAAGGACTTTCACATTAATGGGGACAGATGTAGTTCCTCCAATGTTACTGAGGCTTAAGAGAAAGTGTCCTCCATCCACTCTTGTACAGTCCCTTATGATGAGAGTTGTATGAGTCAGACTGTTTTTGACTTCCATTCTTGGTGTAACTTTGTCAATTTCTTTTCCATCCTTTAGCCAAGTTACTTCGGGAAGAGGCTTTCCAAAGTAATCCGCATCAATGATGAATGTCTCACCAGCCTGAACAACAGAAGTGCTCTTAAACTTAGGATCAATGAATGCTGTGGGTCCTTCAATAACATCCTGAGCAATGATGGTTACACTTTCTGAAGGTGTACTCCAAACACCAGCGGCATTCTTAGCAGTTACTCTAAACTCATAACTTTGGTCTTCTGTCAAACCTGTGACTGTAAACTCATTCTCAATAACATTTGTGAAGTTAGCCTTCATCCATCTGCCATCTGGGAGCTCCTTTTTTTCAACAATATAGCCTGTAATAGTGCTTCCACCATCATACCTTGGTTTTGCCCACTGAAGTGTGATGTTCTCTCTGTTAATAACAATAGCTTCAGGTTTACCAGGTGGATCACAGGGGTCTCTTGCCACATAGCATTCAGATATTTTGCTTGCTTGACTGAGTCCAGCAGTATTCTCAGCAAATACTCTGAATTCATACTCAATGCCTTCCTCAAGTCCACTTGTTTTGAAGCGAGCATCAGGTATGACAAGCTTGTTCAGTTTTGTCCATAAAATGCTGTTCTTCTCTTTGCGTTCAAGGTGGTAGCCAATGATTGGGCTTCCTCCATCTTTGGCTGGAGGTTCCCATTCAACCACCATGTTATACTTTGCCACAGTGGATGCAAAGGGGATGCCAGGAGCAGTGGGCACACTAAAAGGATATTGTGCAATCACGAAAGGAGAGGTGATTGCTGTACTCTTCCCATACCTGTTTTCTGCAAACACTCTAAACTGGTATTCATTTCCTGTCTTCAGTTTGGTGACTTTAATTGTGGTTCTAACTGTTGTCACTGACACAGTCTGCCATTCAGTACTTGAGATTTCCCTTTTCTCCACTATGTAGTTGTCCAGCTGACAGCCTCCTGTGTATTCTGGTGGCTCCCAAGAGATGGTAACGTAGTCAGATTGGATCTCATCAATCTTCACAGGGCCTTTTGGAGGGTCGGGCTTTTCAAGGACAACCACTGTGATTTCTCCTGTATATTTTCCAACACTATTGCTTGCAATAATAGAGTATTGGCCAGTGTGCTCCCTAGCAGCATGTCTGATATGAAGAAGTGTTAATGATGACGTGTTTGAAACCTCTAGCCTGGATGTCTCTTTGACTGCCTGGCCATCTCTTTTCCATTCAATCTTTGGTGCTGGGTGCCCGACCACTGGGATCTCTACTTTCAGATCTCCACCATTCTTGACAGTAAATGTCCTTAAAGTTATCTGGAGTTGGGGCTTAATAGCATTTCTCACATCTGTGTCAGCGCCAGGTTGGACCACAGGGTCAGGATCAGGCCGGTCTAGTGTGAGAAATTAAAAACATTAAATAAACAGAACATTAGATGGAATCACTGTGTAGAGTCAGGATATGTATGGGTGATTTGTATGGTTCTTACAAATAATTATGTGCGATATAAAATGTATTACATTCAAAACCAAAATCTGTTGAAGGAATCCGTTATGAAATGTTGATCAATTATTTAATCTGTTCTATCTTTCATTTGATTTATTCTGTGTCGTGAAAATGTTGCTTCTTGGAAGAAACAAAATCAGAAGTCACAACATATTTAGTATTTTATCATAAGATGTGACAAGACATTTTTCAAAATACTTGAATAAAAGGCCTATGAAAGCATTAACTTTATTCTTGCCCTTTGTTTGCATTATATATGAGACAAATTAATCCAGTTGAAAGCAACCCCAAGTTCATACATAAATGTCTAAACCACAAACAGTTTTAAAATGATTAATTTAAATTCAAAAGAAACTTTACAAATGGTCTTTCTAGTCAGTGATATAATGCATAACATACCTTGGATAACAACTGTTGAAGATGACTGAGTCTCCTTTGCTGTTGGGTTTTCATCAGTATCTGGTGTCACATTTATATTTAGAGTGTGACTTTTTTCATCTGCTTTCTCTCCCATCTAAAAAAAGAGTATGACACAAACGGTCAGACAATAAAAAATGATGACTCGCTGACATGATCATGACAGTATGTTTATATTTTTCAAAATCTTGTTATGTTTTGAAGTATAATGTAAAGTAAATAGAAAGTTGACACGAGTACTGAATCTATTAAAAGTAAGACAAAAATAACTTTTATGTTTCACAACAAGATTACATGTTGGCTAGCTTAATGAGTGCTACATGTATGGGTTGGTAATAGACACTCTGTTGGTGTTTAAAATAACTAGAGGCATTCATGACCAGGCTGCCATCTGTTCTCCCAAAACCGATCAAACTGCTATTGTCTTACTCTTAAAGCTCTCACAAGGGTGAACCATTTCACAAGAAAGAAACACAAGAAACACAAATCGGCCATAACTCAAGAATCCTTTAACAACTCTGGCTTAAAGGGTTGAATTTGTTTAACACAGCGGTAACAACTTACCTTGTGGTTGCTTGCTTCCATCCTATATTGTACTTGTCCTTATGATATCAGAATTCAGCTTGTTCAAGTTGATCTGCTGGCTAAGACACATTGACTTGGGTGAGCCCCTGAATCCTGAGGCAGACATACACAGGTCTGCCAATCACTGCCTGCTTTATCTCTAAAAGCATGCAGGGACTAAAATAACCATGATGCCTGATTGGTCAGCTGCTCATTCTTTCAAGTTAGTTGAGCCTACATGTGTCAGCTGGGGAAAACTAGAGAGCTACTCAACAGTTAAATATTGCAGACAGACCATTCCAGTACAAGGGGGTTTACAATAAGGCTTTACTGTATGTTATTATACCTTTGGTAGTCACATATAAGATGGTTTTACAGCTTGGTCTAAGGTTTAAATTGGTTATATGTGTCATGGTTTACTCTTGTTTAGTTAGTTTATTCTTTATTTTGGTGCTTAGTTGGGATTTCCATTTCTTGTCATTTATATCCTCATGTTTCTCTGTTTTGTGTGTATTTTCCTGTTGATATGTCTGTGTTTAGTTTTGAGTGTTTCCTGTTTGTAGTTGTTGGCTCTGTGTATCATGTGTAGTTTGACCTGGTCCGCTGTGTCTTCACCTGTGTTTATGAAAAGAACAGGGTTGATAGACAGATTATTTAAAATGTATTATTATTATTATGTTCTTTGTTTTCATGTGCCGAAATTCTGATTCACACTCAGCAGGGGGCGGTAATGCGCCATTAAGATCGTTTGCCAACCGCGATAAAACTCAAAAGAAGGCGAAGAAGAAGAAGAAGAAGACGAAATACAACCGTTAACACCGACGAAGAAGAATACTTTTAACTGTGAAACCGGTGTTAGGAGGAAAAACCATAAAAACTGGATGATTAACCATGAATATTTGAATGAAAGAAAGAGTTAGTAGCGGCTTTGTTTATGCATTTAATCTTTTGTTCGATTCATGACGCTCAGGTGAGTAGGCTACCGATGAAAACAATCAGATCATGTTTGTGTGATGGAAAAGAGCCATTCAAAAATACATGTGTGTAAAAGTAGATCTTTTCACAACACTGGATACCTCTAAGTATGTTTGTCTTTCAGCTTTAGCCTTCAGGTTTTGTATTATTAATAGTCAGCTGGAGATTCTGTCACAAACCTTTATGAGTATGATGTTTCAGACCTCCACAAATGTAACCGTGCTTATTATATTTCAAAGCTGCAACCTCTGTTTTCTACAGCTGAAATGAAACAATATATCATTAAATCATACTGAGCAATTATACTGGCAATAATATAGATTACTGATGAATGTTTTCATCCATTTGTTAAAAGCTAAGATTACAAACACCCACTGCTTCAGATTTTCAAATGAGTTTGTTGCTTCTTCATCTGCTTTGATAGTTCCCATTGGAAGGATTAGGTTTCACTGCTCAGTGTTTCCACATACAACAACTCTCTATGTGGTGATTCAGCAGAATGACACCTTATTGTCATATTACCTCTGTCTGCCTCATTGTTTACCAGCAGGCCCCACCATGCCTCTGCCATTTGTGTACAGCAGCCAGGACTTTGTCACAGATGTGTGTCGAAACCGGGCAAACCGTCTTGTGCCGGCAAAGTTTGACACAACTATCCAAGAGGGGTGGACTGACAGGATGGACAGAGGACTCTTCCGCTATCACCTCGGGGATCTTCAAACACGTATACTGCCAGGCCCGAATGGCTTTGTGGCCCAGCTGAATATCCAAAGAGGAATAGAGAGAAGAAAACCTCAGGAGATCCTGAGCATTCAACAGGAGTTCAATACTAAACAGTTCAATTTCAACAAAATAAATCATGAAGAAATCATCTTCGAGATGATAAAGGACAATGAGGGCGGGAGTGAAAGTGGACAGCTGCATCAACCCTGCAAGATGGTTGTGCTGGTCAATGTCAGCCCTCTGGAGTTTGGACATTGTCTCTTTGTTCCAGATCCCTCACACTGTTTCCCACAGGTCCTGACCACTTTTGCCATCCAGGTTGGCATCGAGTCTGTGCTCCTAAGTTCTGATCCAGGCTTCCGTGTGGGGTTCAACAGTCTTGGAGCGTTTGCGTCAGTCAATCACTTACACCTACATGGGTACTACATGGACCATGAGCTCAAGATAGAATCTACACCAGGAAAGCCACTGGTTCCTGAAATGGGGTTTTATCGCCTGCTGGACTTTCCTGGAGGCTTTTTATTTTACACAGAATCAGAGCAGGTGGAGAAAGTGGCCAGAGCCATCTGTCTTGTCACAGACTTTCTTGTTGAGGGTAACATTGCTCACAATCTCTTTTTAACAAGAGGATGTCCGCCCACGTCTGAAAAAGATCACTTTTCAAGAAAAGGCGTTCGTATCGCTGTTTGGCCCAGAATGTCATGCTTTGGTGCCAAGGAGGAGTCTGCCTTCAATGTTGCTCTTTGTGAGCTGGCTGGACATTTACCGTTTAAAAACAAGAAGGACTATGAGCTCACTACAGAGAGACATGTTATAGAAACCATCCAAAAGTATCTTCTGTCTGATGAGGAGTTTCACACATTGGAACAGGAGCTTACTCGTCTTGTGATGGATGTATGATTCATACGTCAAATCATTGTTAAAACTGTGCATGAGCTACACGTTTTCCACACAAAATATTGTGCCATTACCAAAAAAAAAAACGAGTTTCTTCACGACCCATTATACCCTAAGTGCTATGCTGTATGCTGTATGCTGTATGTCTTGACCCATCTCTTACAACTATCAAACCAATGGCTGTGTCATGTTAAAATGTTTCAAAATAAAAAGTACCAGGAGCATTCCCCCTAAATGTTTCTATAGTTATTTTCTGAGTTCCATTACTTGGATGGATTTTTTGTTCATAATGGGGTTTTTTATTTTGGCTTAAGAAAGCTGGAATAGCACAGGCATAATTCATATCATTCTTCATAAATATATACCAACTTCCTTTACTATTCTCATAAGCTCTGGTTGAAAGTGTTTGGGGTTTTTTGGCATTGAAGAAAATGGAACAGACCCATTGTAAATCATACAGCAAATATCTGTTGTGAAAAGGCCCATGATGTAACATTTAATTATAGAAACAGAAGATATATAGAGACACATTTTGCTGAGGCAGGGACAATCTTTATGATGATCTGGAGATGAGTCTAAGTTAGTCGTCATTAAAGGAACACACTCAGATAACCATTGGATTCAAGCTAGCGCATAATTCCATTTTAGTATTTAAGGAACATTTGTCTCCATAAAGACATCTGCAGAATACTTGTTGGAGAGTTGCACCAAGCAGGTAACTTTTAAAATAGTGTTAATGAAAATAAATCAACACTTATAATGAATGAAGGTCATGCCTTCATAGCATTCATTATGAAAAAATGGTCAGGCTGGGAGAGGAAAAAACGGGTTAGAATAAAATATTTGTATAGGTGAAAAATCTGTAATCGGTGTCCCCCACTTGTTCACAGGTAAAACAAACTGGAAAAATTAAATGCTCCACTATTTATGTGACGGTCTAAGGAATATAAGCTCCGCCTCCATCAGTTGGAAACCTGTAGAATACATGTCGAGGAATTATCCCTATAGCAGGATGATCCAGTTCACCAGGTAACTTTTTTTTGATTGCAATTAATATTAACAAAGGCATTGTCATGCTTCATTAGCATTCAGGTGAAAGAAGGGTGTGGCTGAAAAGAGGGGGTTCAAATCAAAGGATCATTATAATCTGTGAACAAGGAAAAAAAACATGAATCTTTAAGAGACTTCACAAACCCACTTGTTAAAGCCTTAACCATTATGTCATACATGCTTTTTAATGAAATCAACCTTTCTCTACATTCAACATATTTCAACTTGAAGGCAAGGTTGGTTATTTTCTCCAGATCCTTTTTAAGATTTTGGTCGAAGTTGTCTTTAGGTCCTGTCAGAAATGAATAACTCATGCTCTGAAAATGGAACAAAGAAAATCTAGTCATCTGTAGCAGTTGTAAGCCTGTAAAAACTTTAACCAATGTCTACCTCGAGGTACCAATCTGATGAACCAATCACGTCTCCCTGCTTGTTCTTTACCACTTGCGTCTATAGCCCACACTCAAAGCGCCAACGATGAGGGAGTTTATACAGTGCATTAGTCGTTGGCCGTTGTGAGTAGTACAATAGTCATGTTTTTTTTATGATAAAGTTTAGTGTTGTTAACGTACCGCTGAATGAGATATCAGACAACATTGTTTTTTAACTATGCAAGCGATGAGCT